TTTAATTGGCTCATCCATGTGCCACAAAATGAAAAAATAAGGATGATTGCAAAATGTATTTCATTATTTAATCTAAATGCCAGTGCATTCTCTACCGGTCAACCAAGTCAGGCCGAGAAAAAAGCTTTTAAAAAACATTATCTTACACTACAATCTTACTCAAATTCTTTAAGATTATGTAGACTTTTTAAACGTAGGCAATAACGTTAGGTAAATCAACTTTGTATTATGTACTATCGGGGACTCTTCCGCCTGACCACTTTGTAGAAATTTTAGCGTAAACGCATCGCTCCGGTCACGTGCTCACCCCGTCTCTAATTGGTTACGCATTTTACTATATTTTTACTACGACCAATAAGAGACAATCAGGGCTTAGGTTGCAATACGAAATACCATTGTGCACTTTATTGTCATACGGTTAAGGTTTAAAACGAAATGTTTCTTTTTCTTCAATCTTTCTTAGTTTTAGGCTGAGTTGCGCCACCTAACTTTGACCGTAGCTATAACGGTAACCGGTGCTTTTTGTATGGAGTTTAACAGATTTTTGACGTTTGTCAAAGTTAAAGTAAGATGGTGCAACTCAGCTTTAGAATTTTAATAATAGAATTTGGTTACAAACAAATAGATAATATGTTTTTTTTAATATTGTATTTTTATACGAGGTCTGTCTGCTTTTTGCTTTGGCGAACTGTCGACATATTCTCTCCTTTGTTTTTTGTGCAGTTTTGTGATCCCTAACCGATTGATTTTGTTTTGTGTTGACCCGTGCTAGTAATTGGACTGTTTGATTGCCTTTTTATTGACCTCCGCGCGATTACTGAATCATGGCCTCTCAAAATAATTCTTAATTATTCTTATATTTAATTACAAACTTATCTATCTATACATTGTTAACTGTTTAAGTATTATTTAGTTTGAAGTTTAATTTTTATTGATTTAAAACCTTGTGTAAAGACACTTAATGTGCAATAAAAAAATAATTTGAAATAAAACTAACTTAATATTATAATATGTATTTATAATAACCAATGACCTGGATCATTGCTACCTAGTTACAATATTTGTATTAAATTGTAATAACGTAGATAAGTGTTTCTTTTAAACGGAAAACAAAAGTTGCTAATGTATTAAAAATAAATAGAAACCTATTATAGGTTTTTATTTACATTCAAGGATTTAAGAATGTTATTATGTAGCCAGATCTTACAATAATTGTTTTTAAGCCACAAATATTCCTTAACTATTTCCTAATTAATTCAATAACATATAGTTTATAAATTATAAGTTCCAAATAAATTAAATACCTATTAAACAAGTAAAATTCGAAAGTGACTGTATGATTTTGCATTTCTCGCCTTAACTAGCTAAACTAATATCATGAGATTTACAATCTTAATATCAACAATAATTATAGAAAGAGCTACTTTTTTCTCAGGAAATTGCACAGTTACCTCGGAATGTGCGATAGCAATTTTGTGACCCGAGCGGGCAATCGCTAGTTCAATTTTTACACGAAGCCCCATATAATATTTTGTAGCGATTCTTTATTGGGTTTCAAATTTGCTAAAATGCGACGTTGCCAAACTAGCGCCACGGATGCGGGTAAGCTAAGCAATACTCAATCCTAAACGCTTTACATAGAGCTTGGTTTGCTAGGGCAAACATCTACAGTGGTGCGCCGACGCTGCTTAGACCCGAAAGATGAATGAATGGGGGCGTAGCTTAATCGAGCGTGTGTGTGCAAACAATTTAGGCCCTTAAGGTGTCAAGGCGTCCGAGTCCTCGATAGTACCTATAAGCCTATGTTAAACACCATACACACATTTCATACACTCTCATACATCACCATTCACAATGCGAGTAAAGGGTATCGATATGTCTCTCAATTGGCGGTCAAGGCACACTCGTTGCGCGCGCGCACCCATACGAGTTTGTGAACTTGTGTTTTGTTCGCGCACTGTGTTTGTTGTGCACCGGTAAAACAAACTATTTAAATATACAGGGTGACTTAGAATTAGAGCATACGCCCGTATTCACAATCGATGCTTGCTTAAGTGAAGCAGTAAATCGAACGCACAGCGTTAAATAGAGCTCTGTGATCGGTTCGTGTGTCACCCTGTGCGTCCACGCGCACCGTGAGACCTCATAGTAACGTTTGTGAATACGGGCGACAATCTTGTAAGGGGTTATAGCACAGGTCATTTTCAATTTTTGTGTTTGTACTTATTTATTTTTTATAAGCAAAAGTCCTTTAGTTTAACCAAAAAAAAATCTCAAAAATAGGTACTAATCCTTTTTCTTTATTGTCTTTTGTCTCATATTAAAGGTCTAAAAGGTTTTTTTTTTCAATAATGGTCCAATTTTGCATAAGAGTGACCGTAAAAAAAAATGTTGCAAATTTACCTGTACAACCCCTTACAAGATTATGCTCTAATACCAAATCACCCTGTATAACCACTCTGTATTTATTGAATCTTAAAAAACTATCCTCTTTCTAGGTTTTAGAAGAGTTTTCCTGACCAAAAGACAGCCTTATAATACTTGTCCTATCTTGTCAATCATTAATACATTTTAATACACAATCAATCAAAGTTTGTCACAAGTAACATAGGTGGTCCACGATTTGTATGGGCGGTTCGCATTGTATTGTATGCGTAAGAGATAACTGTTGTCTAAGGCATGCTCTATCAATTGTATCTTTGTGTGTTTATGTGTTATGCAATGACGAAAATAGTTCACTAAGGGCTGATTTACTCGTATTAAGTAGTTAAGTGGGTAACTAAATCTTAACTTCATTTCAAGCGATTAAGTACTTTAAAGGATGATGGGCACAAATGTATGGAAAGTGGTACCCGCTCCAATAGCCATAACCAATATATATTTCAAAAGGCCTTTAGATGTAGGAAAATGTCTGCTATGGGGCCAGTTCTAATTCACGTTTTGAAAGCAGTAATTCCACTAAGTATTATATGAAAGTATAACACAATCATCCATGTATACGAGTATGTACTATGACTAGAATCTATTAATATAACTAAAATAAACATTCAAAAGGAAAGGATTGTACCTACGATGAACTACCCAAGCTATTAGCCCTTTATTCGCTTTCATCATCATCATCATGATCATTTTAGCCATAGAACGTCTAGTTGAACATAGTCCTCCCCCAATGATTTCCACAATGGCCGGTTGGTAGCGGCCTGCATCCAGCGCCTTCCCGCCACCTTTATGAGGTCATCGGTCCATCTTGTGGGTGGACTTATTGGGTCTTGTGGGATTATTCGCTTTAGCAATCCATAATAAAACCCTTAAGAAGTAATAAAACTCTAACCCCTTTATTAATAAAAGTTACACCCTAGTTGAACTCTGGCTTAAATTGTCATTTGGTATGGAAATGTCATTTTAATCCAAGGTTTCTCCTAGGTGTAACTTTTTATTAATAAGGCGGTAGTAGTTCTTCAAATAAAAATATTTATTTCACAATTATCCCAATCAATAATTATAGAGTTAAGGAAGGATGCTGGAGCAGTAAACACTTCATGCCTCGCACAACCTAAGTACATACTATGGACACGTATGATACTTAGGTTACACAAAAAGTATGTTTATCTTCGAACGCAACCAGATCTGAGGCTGGTGGCCGTAGTAAATGTTGTTCGTCTTGGTAAGACCTTTCAAATGACACTACAAACATAACTATTGGAGCCGGGTACTATTTTGCTAAAAAGTATGTTTATCTTCGAACACAACCAGATCTGAGGCTGGTGGCCATAGTAAAAGTTGTTCGTCTTGGTAAGACCTTTCAAACGATACTAGAAGCATATCTATTGGAGCCGGGTACCATTTTGCCCATTGTCCTTTAGTTGACAACCAAATTTTAACTTGCCACTTGCCATGTACTAAATTGTGAGTTTACACGCAATTAATCACTTAAAATTAAGTTAAAATTTAGTTACCTACTTATCTACTTAAAACGTGTAAATCAGTCTTTAGTGGTATTTTTTTACTTACATAGCAGTGCGTACATTAAAATGGCCTAATTTAGAAAGAAGACTGATAAATAGAATATTTTACCCATTACATGGAAGCTTTTTACCCATTACATGGAAGCTCTTAACCTGCATCTCACCTGATGAAAAGTGATGATCAGGCCGAAGTTGGAAGCGATCTTCACCCGAACTCCTCAACCACAGAGGAACTGACTCTACGTCTAACTGCCGGAATACATATTAATCACATACACATGTTGTATATAATAGTGGTGCGATTGTCACAAATGTTGAAGAGATTAATTATTTCCAATTTTGTGTATCCAGCAGTCTTTATCGGCACACGCCTCTAATATGTGATTACATTGATGAAAGAGATTCTTAGATTAAATCGATAACAGCAGGAAATTAGATTAATTTACCGATTTCATAATTTTACGCAATCTTATCATTTGTAATCTTTGATTTTAAACGTAGTTATGAGTGCTGCTTGGAACTAATTAATTAAAATACTTACTTTGAAAATAGCAATTGTCACGCGAAATCCTCTAACAGGTAACTTAGTCCTTTTTAGAGTTCCGTAGCCAAACGGAACCCTTATAGATTCGTCATGTCTGTCTGTCTTAACCATGATGATCAAGCTCTTGATTTGCACCTGACCTGAGACTAAGTCATAAGGCCGAAGGCTAGGAGCGAGCTTCACCCAGAATCCTTATGAGGAACTGTCTATTTTTCTTTTTGTCACTCCAGAAAAACTGTTAACATTGTCGTTGGCGAAAGACTTGGTAGTTAGCCAGCCGAATTAGACCAGTCCTTCCTTCCCTCCAGCAGAAAATTTGCCCCCTGCTAGTGGGTTCACCACAATAATCCTTAGTAGTTAACGAGGATTGACCACCGACCCTTAAAACGACATTCCCATGTAACCTTTGGGCTATAGTCGCCCATGGGTCTTGTAGACCCAAAGGATCTTTTACGTTGACAGTAATTAATTAATTTTCTCTATTGTTGCAGTCCACCGACGTTCAAAACGCTGACGCCGACGTCGCGTACGCAGCTGAAACAGCAGTTGATGCGAGAGCATGCGCAGGAGCAACTGCGCAGGGAATCCTTACAGGTACAAAAGAAACTAGACTAACTTAAATGTTCCCAAATATCGAATTTTATACGGAGGCAATAGAATCCCATGAAAAGATTTATCAACGAATTGTCATTTGCTTCAAAATCATCAAAAAACTAGCCCTAATTAGTTTGCGGCGACATTAATTACAATTATGTTAAACTTGATTGATTTTTTGCTCAAATCTCGCTCACGTCTGAGATTGTGTCTGAGACAGCACACATTAATAAAGTAATTGTTTGTAAAATGTCTGCACTAGTGATGTGCACGTTTCTATCGATATCTATAAAATGACATCATTTTATTTTCTATGAAAAATATTTTAGAAAGGTTATAGTTTACATAAGTTAATGAATTAAGACTTTTATATGTACAGAAATATTATGTTGTATGTTTTCGTTTTTACCCGACTGCGCCAGAAGGAGGGTTATATTTGTCAATGTCGTACACATAGATTTCACGAATGCAAAAATGGTCATCGTTTATTTTTACTGGAGGAGGAAGACCCTCTCTGATATCGATGGCTCCTACGTATACTGGCGTAAGTGAAAAAAGTAAATTTTACAGGAGAGCCATTTTAGTGGCCAGAACCATATTTTTGGGTCATATCTTCTGACCTACTAAAACGAATTTAATGAAATTTCACATTTAGCCTTAACATGTAATGCTTTTGCTACTGCTGTTATCAATTTTTATATTTTTCTTATATATTTTGAGATTTTACGCATTGCCCTTTTACGTCGGCATATTTCTATAATTTCATGTATATTGTTCAACGTAAAGAGACTTAAATGACAACGTAAATATAATATTTTAAGCGATTACTCTCTTTATTTATGCATGTAATTATTTTAATTGTTATCATGTGCTATATCAATAATAAATCAGTTAGAAAAAGTCGTTTAATGTACCGTTTTACGTTTTAACGCAAATACGCCCATATACTGTGCTCGAGATTTAGTTAGGTCTTTTAACATAATGTGTCATATTTTTAAAAAATATAAATAACTTGAAAAAATCGAATTGCCTAAGGCGGGCTGAAAGTGCTTCACGAGCTCTATCCAACGGTACCAATAATAAGTTACAAAATAAACTGGATCTATCCGAAAATTCAATGTTTCCAGCTTTCATACATTTAGTACTGCCACAGTCATGGCACTCATGTCTTGATAATATTAGAGCAAATAAAGCCTAAAACCAATGTTTTCCATGAATAATTTTAAATGAGAATGCAATTTACGAGTTCAATTTAAGTTTTTATTATTTAATAAAAAAAATAACACTTCTAATATTGTGTGGCTGGCATACATTTAGTATGGATGCTGAAAACATTGAATTTTCGGATAGATCCAGTTAATTCTGTAACCTATTACTTATACCGTTGGAAAGAGCTCGTAAAGCACTTTCAGGATCAGTAACCAGTTTTTCGATATCTTGTATAGTTTAGAAATAATCGCGTGCGATCACTTATCGTTTCCACCCTGTAGAGCTGACAGTCCAACTGTAGGAGACAAAGATTACGTAAGGGAGAGCCCATTTATCTCCAGCTGGACTGACATTCAGAAGTCATTAAGAAATCTAGATTCTATTCATTCAAACAATGGTTCAGAGTTCGATTCCCAGAGTAGACGACAAATTAAAAAAAAAACTGAAGTCACAATATTAATACCATAGAAGACACGGGTCAATGAAACTGATATAGCTTGAATTTTTTTTCTAAAACGCAGAATCGTATTTCAATCATAACGCACGAGTAGGAATCAATACTGCAATTTTCCCAAATAGGGAATTTTATACGGAGGCAATAGAATCCCATGAAAAGATTTATCAACGAATTGTCATTTGCTTCAAAATCATCAAAAAACTAGCCCTAATTAGTTTGCGGCGACATTAATTACAATTATGTTAAACTTGATTGATTTTTTGCTCAAATCTCGCTCACGTCTGAGATTGTGTCTGAGACAGCATACATTAATAAAGTAATTGTTTGTAAAATGCCTGCACTAGTGATGTGCACGTTTCTATCGATATCTATAAAATGTCATCATTTTATTTTGTATGAGAAATATTATAGAAAAGGTATTTTAAGGGTTGTAGTTGCATAAGTAATTGAATTAAGACTTTTATATGTATAGAAATACCTATGTTGTATGTTTTCGTTTTTACCCGACTGCGCCAGAAGGAGGGTTATATTTGTCAATGTCGTACACATAGATTTCACGAATGCAAAAATGGTCATCGTTTATTTTTACTGGATGAGAAAGACCCTCTCTGATATACCAGAGGCAAATGGAGGATTTCGTCTACAGACAACAACGAGGTCTGATGTTTGTGTTGATGTTGAGGTCACATTATGACCAGAAGTGGTCCTATTCTACTCTACCATAACAACATAGAAGGTCAGGAAGAACCTGGATACGGGACTATTCCCACCTCTCGTTCCCACCACTGCAACTCCTGTGTAGCCAGGATCTACAGCTTGACCGCCACAAAAACCAAACCAATGAAGGTCAAGTTTGTCCCGGGGGAAAGTTAAACTGTCATTGGACCCGCAACGAAATTAATCAATACTCAATACTCAATACTTTTATTGCATAACCACATTAGCATTCACATTTATAGGTCTTACAATTTAGGCAGTTATACAATGTGGACCCAGTTAGGGCACAGCAACTTTAGGAAGGAGACAGAACGACGATCTTACTAGTCAAAAGAAATTAATGTACAAATTGAGTTTGGAAGGTTTAAAACCTTTAAGAAAAGATTATGCACCACGGACAATAAATTAAATTAAGGGGGAAGAACCTGGATGCGGACAGCGCAGGAGCGGTCGTTATAGAAAGCGTCTGGGGAGGCTTTTCTCCAGCAGTGGACGTCATTTGGCTGAAACAACATGGCCAAAGTTTAAAGTGCAAATTTCATCGATAAGTCTTTATTCTCTAAATATCGATGTTCCCCATCAATCTAGTTACAATACCGCTAAGTACTTAAACTTGTATTACCATACCGGCCGTGATAAACGCGCATCGTAACCAGATCGCACCGGTCGTCACCGGTTACTTTCCAATGTGACATGTCAGGTGGCCTTAATATTTCAATGACTGATATTATTTATTAATGCCTCATTCAAATCGCAGCGAAGGCCTTTTAGAGTAGATTCATTTTACTGTTACCCAACCGAAAAAACGCTAGATTTTAAAGCCAATTGGAATAATTTTGTTTATCAATAATGACACGATGGAGTGACTGCTATGGTATTGCATTTGGCAGAAGATTCTGATGCCCATTTACAAATCTCTACCGAGGAATTTTAGAATGGGGTGTGGAACGTCTACCTGGACAGGAATTCAAAATCAAAAAATCAAAATCAAAATCAAAAGTATTTATTCAGTTTAGACCACAAGTGGCACTTATGAACGTCAATTGTGGCAGGAACTAGGTGGAAACCTTTCACAAGAATCTGCTCTGAACCGAGCTATTATGTTTTTTTATGAAACGCAACGTCTGAAATGATGTTGGGAAATTCCTGTAATTGGTTCATTTTCAATATTCCATTAAACCAATCACACAATCGCCAACTGAAACTGTTCTAATGAAGAGTTGCGCCATGTTAGAGTACTTTAACCAAATATAACCATAACCGATGTTTTTGTATGGAGTTTGACAGACTTCAAACATTTAAAGTCAACGTAAGATGGTGCAACCCAGCCTTAGTGTAAATTCAAACTTGAGTACCTATCGTCTCATCGTAAGTCTATTTGAATTCATTTCTTAGTCCTCGTTACTATTTTTGCAGGCACAGCAAGCAGGCCAATCCAAAGACAATGAGGAGAAGAAGAAGTCCTCACCCGCGGAAGTGCCGCGCATCGCACCTAATGTGGAACTACCTCCACAGGTTCTTCAGGTATGTACCACTTATTTATAAGAAATTCTAGTATCAAACAAAATGAGTAAAATGACACACCCTAACTTTTTTCTTTAAATCTTTTTCTTTCCTTTTATGTACATTTTAATGGTAACTAGTAGTAGCACAGAATAATAATAAGTACTACGTACAGAAGTTTTACTTCGCGAAGATAAGTAAAAAAATGTATGCTCAATGTCATTAACAATATGGCGTAATTTAGCCTGTCTCAAGAGTCAAGCACCATTTTGTTGACAAACGTCAGTAATCGGCACTGCGCCGAAGCTATAGGGCTGACTTCGGTAAAATGATGTGACGTGAGGTGCCAAACTGCGGAAAATGGCGGAGGAAATACATGATTTAGCATGAATTATCGTGAATAATATTAACTACTTATTTACCTCTCAGTGTTTTGAGGCAATTTAAAAAAGTACATTCTATGTTTTTATTATTATTTAGGCAGTTAAATACTGCACAGTATTTAGTACACCATTTTCTTTATTTTCTTCCATCACGAAAAAGAGCGATTTGCATNCGAATTTAATGAAATTTCACATTTAGCCTTAACATGTAATGCTTTTGCTACTGCTGTTATCAATTTTTATATTTTTCTTATATATTTTGAGATTTTACGCATTGCCCTTTTACGTCGGCATATTTCTATAATTTCATGTATATTGTTCAACGTAAAGAGACTTAAATGACAACGTAAATATAATATTTTAAGCGATTACTCTCTTTATTTATGCATGTAATTATTTTAATTGTTATCATGTGCTATATCAATAATAAATCAGTTAGAAAAAGTCGTTTAATGTACCGTTTTACGTTTTAACGCAAATACGCCCATATACTGTGCTCGAGATTTAGTTAGGTCTTTTAACATAATGTGTCATATTTTTAAAAAATATAAATAACTTGAAAAAATCGAATTGCCTAAGGCGGGAATTGAACCCACGATGCCTTAGGCAGTTCGATTTTTTCAAGTTATTTATAATTTTCAAATTAGTTTGAGATGCGACTCTTAACGCTAAAAATTAAATAACTATATAATGTGTCATAATTTATAAATAAAATAATTTGCTAAATATTTTCATGGCTTTATTTAAGATTTGGATTATAAAAAATATATGTTTATGTAAGCAACTACTCGTATAGATTGACGAATCGTATGATTGGGCTTTATACGTGGCGTAGTTTTGCACATACGCCTATTTGCCTAAAATTTTATTTTGTATCTAATGGGAAAAAAAAATTTTTTTCTTACTGATGTTATAGATTAGAGCAAAGTGAAATCATTGCTTAAATAATTGGAAAAAGGCGTAAGCGGCAGTTTCGCCCTTATACGTAGGAGCCATCGATATACTACAGGCAAATGGACGATTTCGCCTACAGTCCCTAAACGACGAGGCCTGATGTCTATGTTGATGTTGAGGTCACATTATGACCAGAAGTGGTCCTATTCTACTCTACCATAACAACATGGAAGGTCAGGAAGAACCTGGATGCGGGCAGCGCAGGACCGGTCGTTATAGAAAGCGTCTGGGGAGGCCTTTCTCCAGCAGTGGGCGTCATTTGGCTGAAACAACATGGCCAAAGTTTAAAGTGCATTTGTTACTATGGCACCAAAGCCGTAGCTCCACTGTGCGTCGAGTATTTGAGATCTAAAAGTCATCGACTATTCATAAATTTTTTTTCAAAATCAAAAGTGTCGGCCAATAAAAAAAAAGTGCTGTATTCTGACAGAATACGTCCGCCTTAGTATTTGTTACTATGGCACCAAAGCTGTAGCACCACTGTGCGTCGAGTATTTGAGATCTAAAATTCATTGACGATTCATACATTTTTTGTTCAAAATCAAAAATGTCGGCCAATAAAAAAAAAGTGCTGTATTCTGACAGAATACGTCCGCCTTAGCATTTGTTACTATGACACCAAAGCTGTAGCACCACTGTGCGTCGTATTATTTGAGATCAAAGTCAGTCGTTTCATATATTTTTAGAACTCAAATACTACGATGCACAGTGGTGCTACAGCTTTGGTGCCATAGTAATAAATGCTAAGGCGGACGTATTCTATCAGAATAAAGCACTTTTATTTTTTGGCCGGCACTTTTGATTTTGGACCAAAATGGATGATGTCCTTTTATCGATAAGTCTCTATTCTCTAAATATCGATATTCCCCATCAATCTCGTTACAATACCGCTAAGTACTTAAACTTGTATTACCATACCGGCCGTGATAAACGCGCATCGTAACCAGATCGCACCGGTCGTCACCGGTTACTTTCCAATGTGACATGTCAGGTGGCCTTAATATTTCAATGACTGATATTATTTATTAATGCCTCATTCAAATCGCAGCGAAGGCCTTTTAGAGTAGATTAATTTTACTGTTACCCAACCGAAAAAACGCTAGATTTTAAAGCCAATTGGATTATTTTTGTTTATAAGCAATGACACGATGGATTGACTGCCATGGTATGGCATTTGGCAGAAGATTCTGATGCCCATTTACAATCATCTCTTTCGAGGAATTATAGAATGGGTCTAGAACGCCTACCTGAACAGGAATCGTAGCTGGAACTAGGTGGAAACAACAATCTGCTCTGAACCGAGCTATTATGATTTTTTATGAAACGCATTTTGTAAAATAATGCTGGTAAATTCCTGTAATTAATTCATTTTTAATATTTAAACCAATCACACAATCGCCAACTGATACTGTTCTAATGAAGAGTTGCGCCATGTTAGAGTACTTTAACCAAATATAACCATTACCGGTGTTTTTTGTATGGAGTTTGACAGACTTTAAACATTTAAAGTCAAAGTAGGATGGTGCAACCCAGCCTTAGTGGAAATTCAAACTTGAATAATGTCTCATCGTAAGCTTATTTAAATTCATTTCTAAGTCCTCGTTACTATTGTTGCAGGCACAGCAAGCAGGCCAATCCAAAGACAATGAGGAGAAGAAGAAGTCCTCACCCGCGGAAGTGCCGCGCATCGCGCCTAATGTGGAACTACCTCCACAGGTTCTTCAGGTATGTACCACTTATTTATAAGAAATTCTAGTATTGCCAAACAAAATAGTAAGATGACACACCCAACGTTTTTATTTAAATCTTTTTCTTTCCTTTTATGTACATTTTAATGGTAACTAGTAGTAGTAGTAGTGTAGTAGGGTGACTGAGTTTGTTTTTCGCCTTTGGGCAATACTTTACCATACGTTCGCGCTGCTAGAGTCCATATTTGTATACCTACATGAAAACGTATATTAATTAGCAATGTTTCATAAAATTATAAAATCGGCATTTAATCTGATCCCCTGCTCTTATTGATTTAATTAGAAATATCTATGTAATTCGTATAATTACATTAGAGCCGTATGTGTGTGTGCTAAATAATGCTGAATGGGCGTAAATACAATCAGTATGAAAAAATATATTTGTAGTTTGATTATATAAATTGTATAATATGTGTGAGATTGTCCAGAGATAAAATAAAATAAATAAAAAAATAAAATTGCTTTTATATTTCCAGGTCCGAACCGTTCTGGAAAACCCCACCAGGTATCACGTGATCCAGAAGCAAAAGAGCCAGGTCCGACAGTACCTCAGTGAATCCTTCCAACCACAAACACAGGTTAGTAACATAATCTACTTACATATTAACACGATAAACTTATTTATCGTGCTATCCTACAATCTTTCAAGAAGAAAAACGCACCTGTAACTCCCCCAGGGCTGCGGGTGATCGGCGGTAATCACTTACCATCAGGTGATCCGCTTCCACATTGGCCTCCTGTCCCTAAAGAGAAATATGCCAAATTACATCCTGAATAATCGAGTTGAAAAACATCGATAACTCTATCGACAGCACACCACTCTAGAGATAACTTTGAGTTAGAAAATCTAGACGTGTGATTGCAAGATTGCCTAGATATTTATCTTCCTAACAAAGAAAGTACACTATGAAATGAACTGTTTAAATATTGTTAGATTTATAAAACACTGAAGAAATACGGGCATTAACACTATGGTAAATATTGGTAATAGCGGCGATGTACAATCTAGATTAGCTGAGTAAACATATTGCTGCGTTGTTAATGTTTTTATAATGAAACCCATGAATATAAACCAAAATCTGAGACAGCTTTTAACTACAGTGACTTTATTAAGGGCAGATATACTTCTATTAATATTTTTATACTAACTGTTCCCGCGACTTGGTACGCGTGAAAACCCGTTTTCGCAACATTTTTCATTATTGCTCTGCTCCTATTGATCGTAGTTGTATAGCCTATAGCCTTCCTCGATAAATGGGCTATCTAACACTGAAAGAATTTTTCAAATCGGACCAGTAGTTCCGGAGTTTAGCGCGTTCAAGTAAACAAACAAACAAACTCTTCAGCTTTATAATATTAGTATAGATTGCAATTTATTGAATCCTCCAAATATTATGCAGGCAAGTAGCTGGAGTTGCAAGGTTCTCAGTAAAATCATTATTTCAGTGCAAAAAATAACGAAATAGATTCAGTTTCTTTTGTTGATTACGAACAAATCCCGCATGCAGGTAATCTCGTATATAGTACCAAAATAGTAATAAACACTCTACCAGCATGAAACTTAGAAACACTTACGCATCAAACGTGTATGTCCAAATAAATACATTATCTTATTACCAAGCCCGAAGGCCAAGTTGATCTTCGCACGCCGGTTCTAACTCTTTTATCAGTATCAGTCACGTTTCATACAAAACGGGCGGAATTTGGTTTCCATACATCGCGTGATTCACCTATTAGCAGAGGATTGATCCTTTTAGCATTCGCTTGTATGGTGGTGCCAAATGGAGGTACTAGACATTGTAATTCTGAAGCAAATAAGATATCTTAGATCAGAAGGAACGGAAGTATACTAGTACTCACCTCGTTTCCACTGCAAGTCTTGTATAAAACTCATTTATTTTTGCAAATAGGCTTTTCATAAGCACTTTTACATGTCCCAGTATTGACCTTACCACTGTTTCGGGACAATAAATGGGCCAGTGCTGAGAAGAAGCAGCGCATGAAACTCAGCCAGAATATATTTACAGTTTGGCCACCAATGACTTACTTACCAAACTTACCCAACCTTAAGTAGCTACGGGAATAACCACCTAACTACTGTAAGAACAGAAAAGCAGTCCATCCGCAAGAATCTTGAGTAAAGTAACCTTGAAGTACTTACCTAAACAATTCTACCCAACCCATCTGATTGGTGGATGTCGGCCGATTCCTCAATAATTTACCTACCTACCTAGCTCTGGTAAAATACCTAGTCAGGTCATAAGTTCTGTCACATGATCATAACTATTGAATTTTGAATGAAGGTCTCAAAAATATTTATTGAATTAGAATTTAGAATATTTAACGAAATTAAAAATGTGCACTGTTTTGAATTTTATTTGTTTTTAAATATGTAGTGGACGCATAAAGAAGACCGAACAGCAGTTGTCACGCTGCATTGGTGCGGTTACGCGCCAAAGCAGATTTTCGATGTGTTGAAAAAATTTAATTAAATATCAATTTTACGTTTATCGTTTCATCAAACGATAAAATGAAGTTTTAAGTGTAGAAGACACAAAACAAAAGTAATTGTTCTTGCACGGTTAGGACTCCAGCTGCGTTAAAAGCTGCGAAGGCGCGAACTCAAAAAAATCCCATGCGTTAGCGGGCTTTGCCTGCCCTGGAGGTAGGCTTAAGCAGAACCAGGGTGAAATTGGTATTTATGAAGACTCAAGGCTTCAAACTTTTTGAATAAAAAAAAATCACTTGGATGCGCGTTTAAAAGACCTGAGAGTGAAGAAATCCCACGTTTTGCTTAAGCGGTACGCGGGAAAAAAGTACTTTGAAAATAATTTTTCGAATGTTTTTTTTTTACCGTGGAGGAGAGTTACAAAAAACAAAATAATAAGTTGGATGCGTACATCAATAAAGAAGCACCAGCTTAATTTCGGCTGTCCAGCTAGGCCAGCTTTTATCGTCACTAAAGGTTTGGTAACATGTCTCAAATTTGGGCTTTTTTGAGGTATTTTTTGCATGAAAGGCATAAAAACGAATGCCTTTCTGTATCAAAATTCAGTTCTCACAAAGTTTATGGAACCTCTTTCACATATCATGCCCAATAACAAACACTAGGAGTTCCAGCAGGATTCTGAGCCAGCTCATAGAGCGAAAAGCGCGCAAAACCCGCTCGTAGGGCGTAAAATTGACCTCAGCCGGCACGAAGTCTAGCCCTAATCCAGTCCAGACTCTAACCCGTTGGATTACAAAATATAGCAACATTTGGAGAGGAAGGCCTGCTCTATGCCTCATACTGATTTGAAATCCCTCAAGGCATCCTGTATTAAACCAGCCGCCGATATTGATACGAAACTCGCTCGTGTTTCTAGAGACCACTGACCACGCAGTTTGAACCCTTGTATTCATAATTGCGAGGAAAATTTTAAATTATTTTTGTAAGCATAAAATCTTTGTTTTAGTACCTTTCAATTGGTAATGATACCGTAAAAACAAATTTAGTATAAATTATTTCACTATAAACATGTGACAGAACTTATGACCCGACTAAGTACAATGCTCCTGCAGTGGACACGAAATTCCACAATAAAGTATTTAAGTAACTTGATTCCCGATTAAAAATCTCAGTCATAGATGCTGTCTTGTGATCGAGCAATATTAACTTCATTCAACCAGTCAAAATCTTTCGTCTGTACCTTAGTTTTGTAATACAGAACTCAATGACCTGATGATGAAGATAATGATGAAGAACTTAACCGCCTCTGTGGTCTAGTGGTAAGACCGCCTGCTTCAGACGCAGAGGTCCCGGGTTCGATTCCCAGTGGGGGCAGATTTTTCTGTTCAGTTTGGTTGGTGGTAGGACTTGTTCTAAGTCCGCCAGCCTAGCTACCAACATCTTACCTAAGTCTGTCATCATAACAACAATATTAACAGCATTGTTGTGTTCCGTCAGTTAGAGGTATGATAGCCAGTTCCTCCGTGGTTGAGGATTCCGGGTGAAGCTCGCCTTCGGCCTGATCATCACTTGTTTTCTTGGTTGTCTTCAGGTGTCGCCGTCGCCACGCAGTGCGCCCGCGCAGTCTGCGCCGGAGCTGGGGCGCCGCGCCGCGTCCCCCGACCGCGCCTCCACCTCCTCGCTGCTCAGCCCCGGGCTCTGCTCCGTGGGCACCACCAACTCAGAGGTCAGTCTTCATCATCATCGTCATTTCAGCCATAGGACGCCCACTGCTGAACATAGGCCTCATCCAATGATTTCCACAATGGTTGGTTGGTGGCGGCCTGCATCCAGCGTCTTCCCGCTACCTTTATGAAGTCGTCGGTCCGCCTTGTGGGTGGACGCCCTACGCTGCCAGAGGTGAGTCTTCATCTTATCGTGTCGACAACAAACCTACACAGTGTCAGCCCAAAACTCCGCTACAAGAGTGGCGTTGTCAGCAGCATTCATTAAATCCTCCTGCGTGCAGTTGCTCGGGCACTCAGGGCACGACATCATGTGTTTCATCGACTGGGGAACAAAACAGAGGTTAGTGTGGACACCAGATAGTGTAGAACCGGGTGAAAGTTAGTAAAACTCTAGCTAGATACCTCGCCCGTACGACACTCGGCCACATGCCCCGGCTCTGCTTTGTCCACTGCACCACCAATTTAGAGGTCAGTATGAACACCAGATAAAGTAAGACCCTAGAAACCTCACTCACGCAGTCTTGTCGGTGCTGGCGAGCTGCGTCCCCCGAACGCATCTCCAGCGAGGAGGTCCTCACTGCTTAGCCCTGGACTCTGCCCCGTGGGTAACTCAGAGGTCAGTGTAGACACCAGATTATGTAGAGCTGGACAAAAATTAATGAAACTATATACATCGCTCGCGCAGTCGGCACCGGAGCTGAAGCGCCGTGTTCCCCGCCGATCGCGCGTCTACCTCCGCGCTGGTCGGCCCCGGCTCTGTTCCATAGGCACCACCAATTCAGAGGTATTAAGTGTTGACAAAAGTTAGTGAGGCTCTAAAAAACTAAGATATCTCATTTAACCAATGAGGCCACAGAATATCCACTGCTGAACATAGGCTACTAAGTTTCATTCCGGCTGGATCAAAGAAGCGGGAAATTATGATTTGTGCCATCCCTTGCTAATGATGAATGATGATCATAATGTTTATGCTGTTTCATTCCTTTTTAATACAAAAATTAACCGATGTCCTTTGCTAAAGACCTGGTACTATCTCTCTTTGCTGGTGTGATAGGTCCGAAAAGCTTAAAGACAGATCTGCATACTTCTCTCTCTCAATGTACTCTTCCCCTCTCTTAAAATTCTCAAAGACTCTTCTTTCTAATTCCAGGCTGATGAGTTCCTAGAGGACATCCTATCCCTGGACGGCGGCGCAGGCCCTCTCTCGTCGTCGGGTCCTCCATCCACGGCCAGCTCGGTCGCCGGGGACTGCGCCCTGCTGTCAGATGCCGACATGCACGCCTTAGCGAAAGACCGGCAGAAGAAGGACAATCATAATATGAGTAAGTAGACTTTGATTAACCGTAATTGCTAGCTGAACTGTTCGAGAGTTTAGTTAGTGCATGGTCTCAAGGCTTCCGTGGATTATTTTTTGAGTAAGACTTCCCCCAATCTTCGTCTTTTCTTTCTTCTTTCAATCTATTTCTCGACTCAATTCTTTCTTGCTTTCTTTCAATTCCAAGATGGAGCTCATAAATCGAAAAGCATAATTTTTGTGTTTGATGGCACTATGATGAGGAAGTTACGAACTTCTTGGTGTTTTTTTAACGATAAGGGCTAAGATCTGCCTATGATGCACAGTTATCAATGGGGATCGTTTTTCTCCTAATTGGTCTTCTTCAGCTTCTGAAGACTTTTTCCACCCGTCTTCATCACATCTCCAGGTCTAAGTTATCTAAATTCATACACTTTTTTATTTTGCTTTTGTGTTTTCGTTTCTTTTGATCTTTATTTTCCAAAAGAACTTTGTGCGCAGACAAAGTTTTATATCCCAGTAGATACCATCATTATGGAATGTTGTACTAATTTATACATTTTCTTCATTCCAGTTGAACGCCGACGCCGGTTCAACATTAACGACCGCATCAAGGAGTTAGGGACGCTCCTGCCGAAGACCAACGATCCCTTCTATGACGTCATTCGTGACGTGCGGCCCAACAAAGGCACGATCCTCAAGAGTAGCGTGGACTACATCAAGTGCTTGCGAGACGAGGTCAACAGGCTCAAACAGAGCGAGCAGAGAAGAAAGCAGATAGAGCTGCATAATAGGAAGCTGATGCTGAGGATACAGGTCAGTAGATCACGCTAGAAAATTTACTTTAATTGGGACCTTTACCCACGAACGTTTTGCTTTCTTTATGCCTGATTTTACCATCACAAGGTTTTACGTTTTAGGTCAAATTCTCATGAGAAAAAACTTTCTTATTGTAAGTATCAAAAGTCCAACTACATGGACTTTTGTCTTCTACGTCTCGTTTCCACTACTTAAATCCCTAAAATAGCTAGAATAAAACAGCTTAGCAGCCCTACTAAATCCACCTAGGCCCTTTTTTGCGCCGGGAAAAGCGATGGAACTGGCAGTGGGTTCTCCTCGCCAAAAAGGCGGAGTTTTGCCCACTTCAATCCAACGGTGTCCACCAGAGCCTAATGAGATGGAACTGCCATGTATAGCCTGACTTAATATTTAATAATCTTGCTTCCAGGAATTAGAACGTCTAGCCAAACTGCACGGGCTGCCGGTGTCGAGCAGCGACAGCGGTGGATGGGCGTCGCCGCATACTGACGACTCCGGCGTCGACACTGCGAGCTCTGAGCCGCATGCGTCGCCTGCGCACGCCTCCACCCCTGTAAGTATACGTAATGTGATTGTCTTAACGCAATTGGACATCGGTCCTGAATAAAAATTACTTATGTACTAAAACTATAATTCGCCTAAAATTATGACGACATCACATGTCAGTACCTGGGATGCTGACTAAAGATATCCAGTCCTTCTTTCCTTGAGTTTTATGTAAGGTGACCTGAAAAAAAAATTCTGCATTTCTTCACTGCAGCAGTACACCCTCTCTAATTTACTGAAGACAAAATAACAAAATAAATGATTCAGCCTTCATAAGCGTACGAAAGCCTAATATACTCCCTACGCTTGTTATGTGGATTATACCGCTTTTTACGACTTCCACAGGATGAGTAGGTCCCTTTCTACACTCTTTATGAGTTCTTAAGACTGCGATTCAGCAACCGTCCTCCAGCTCTATGTAAAGCGTTTTGGATTGAGTATTCCTTACCCGCATGACATAAAGTTTGGCAAAATAGCAATTTAGTAACTCCGTAGCGCTCGCGGGACTTGGTAGAAGGTTTGAAAGGAACATGCTAATTAATCATTTATCTCTTCCAGGAGGTGATCCTGCCCAAGACGGAGCCGGCGCCGCTGATGGAGCTGGGCGAGCCGCCGCCCGACCTGCTGCGCGACATGCCGCCCGGGGAGTGCCTGTCCGCGCTCGACGCATTAGGTAGCTACCTACTCTGAGATCCTAGGTTCCTAGGTGGGACTTATCATTGTAATTGCGACGTGCCAGATATGATGCTAGGTTCGGTTCCTTTAAGGAACATTGTGGAATGAAGACTCTGCGGGACATGCCGCCCGGGGAGTGCCTGTCCGCGCTCGACGCATTAGGTAGCTACCTACTCTAAGATCCTAGGTTCGGTTCCTTGATAAGACAATCACTGTGGTTGCGAACATGGGTTGGGTTCCTAGATGGTGAGGCACATGTATAGAAAAATCACTGTAATTATTCCCAGTTTGGTTTGGATACAACGATTCCATGGTTCGGTTCTATAAGGAACATGTGGAACGTAGACACTGCGGAACACGGCGCCTTAAGAGTGCCTGGTCCGCGCTAAACGCATGAGGTAGCTACCTACTCTGAGTTCCTAGGTTTGGTTCCTTTAAGGCAGGGGTTCCCAAAGTGCCCCCGCCCCCCATTGGAGGCGCTAAGATCTTTAAAGGGGGGCGCGGGCCATCTGTGTAGCTATGTATTAAAAAACCTGCGACCGCTGAGAGAATGCATTCAAGACAGCTCGACACGACCAATAAATAATCTGGACTGAAGGAAGGGGTAATTTTTTGTATGGTCGAAAGGGGGCGCGTGTCAAATAAGTTAGGGAACCCCTGCTTTAAGGAAAATGTGGAATGAAGACTGCGGGACATGCCACCCGGCGAGTGCCTGTCCGCGGTCGACGCATTAGGTAGCTACCTAGTCTAAGATCCTAGGTTCGGTTCCTAGATGGGACTTAATCATTGTAATTGCGGCGTGCTAGATATGATGCTAGGTTCGGTTCCTTTAAGGAACATTGGGGAATGAAGACTCTGCGGGACATGCCGCCCGGGGAGTGCCTGTCCGCGCTCGACGCATTAGGTAGCTACCTACTCTAACATTATGGTCCTGGGTTCGAATCCCAGTGGTGACAAAACAAAAAAAAACCTGCTGCGACACAAGAGAGTTACTGTTCACACTTGACGTATTAGGTACCTGTCAACTTTGTGACTATTATCCTAGGTTCGGTTCCTTTAAGATAAATATATTAATAATTTAATTTAAGCACTGTGTAATGGTTCCGAGTTTGGTTATGATGGCAACGTCTGACGGAAACTTGATCTGATCTTAGTTGTTACATCGCACGCTCACTTTTGTCATCTACAATCTTCTTCTGACTAATTTCGTTACTGGGACAAATTTGGCCATCACTGGTTAGTACCAGCACTTGCTGCAATCTCAGGAAGAACGTATCTAGTACTGAGAGATTCTTGCGCTGCTTCTTCTTAGCTTGTTAACATTAGGATTTGTGTAAAAAGATTTTAAGCTCCTTAGAGTAAAATTAATCTAATGCCACANCATACTTCTCTCTCTCTCAATGTACTCTTCCCCTCTCTTAAAATTCTCAAAGTCTCTTCTTTCTCATTCCAGGCTGATGAGTTCCTAGAGGACATCCTATCCCTGGACGGCGGCGCGGGCCCCCTCTCGTCGTCGGGTCCTCCATCCACGGCCAGCTCGGTCGCCGGGGACTGCGCCCTGCTGTCCGATGCCGACATGCACGCCTTAGCGAAAGACCGGCAGAAGAAGGACAATCATAATATGAGTGAGTAGAATTTGATAATAGGTAGGTACCCGTAATTGCTAGTTGAACTGTACGAGAGTTTATTTAGTGCATGGTGAAAGCTTCCATGCATTACTTGTGAGTAGGAGTTCTCCCGATCTGTTCCTTGAATTAAATTCCAAGATTGGAGCACATTAAATCAAATTGTATATTTTGCATTTCATGCCACTTTGATCAGGCCGTTGCTGCAAGGTGCATTTTTGCCAACCGAGATCGTTTGTGTCTTTTTTTGTCTTTCCTGTAAGATTGGGAGGATTTATATCTGGAAACTGTGTTTGAACTTGTACAGAAACGACCGTAAAAAAGGGTTAGCACATTAAATTACCTCCAGCTTACCATAATGTTGTTCATGTTCGTTATTTCAGTTGAACGCCGACGCCGGTTCAACATTAACGACCGCATCAAGGAGTTAGGGACGCTCCTGCCGAAGACCAACGATCCCTTCTATGACGTCATCCGTGACGTTCGACCCAACAAAGGCACGATCCTCAAGAGCAGCGTGGACTACATCAAGTGCTTGCGAGACGAGGTCAACAGGCTCAAGCAGAGCGAGCAGAGAAGAAAGCAGATAGAGCTGCATAATAGGAAGCTGATGCTGAGGATACAGGTCAGTAGACCACGCTAGAAAATTCACTTTAATTGGGACCTTAACCCACGAACGTTTTGCTTTCTTTATGCCTGATTTTACCACCACAATGTAAAAACGTTTTAGGTCAAATTCTCATAAAAAAATCTTTCTTATTGTAAGTATCAAAAGTCCTACTACATGGACGTTTGCCTTCTACGTCTCGTTTCCACTACTTAAATTTCTAAAATAGCTAGAATAAAACAGCTTAGCAGCCCTACTAAATCCACCTAGGCCCTTTTTTTGCGCCGGGAAAAACGATGGAACTGGCAGTGGGTTCTCCCAGCCAAAAAAGCGGAGTTTTGTCTACTTCAATCCAACGGTGTCCACAAGAGCCTAATAAGGTGGATGGCCATATTGTGTAGCCTAACCTAATGTTTAATAATCTTGCTTCCAGGAATTAGAACGTCTAGCCAAACTGCACGGGCTGCCGGTGTCGAGTAGCGACAGCGGTGGATGGGCGTCGCCGCATACTGACGACTCCGGCGTAGACACTGCGAGCTCCGAACCCCATGCATCGCCTGCGCACGCCTCCACTCCTGTGAGTATACGCGATGTAATTATCTTAACGCAATTGGACAACGGTCATGAATAAAAATTACTTATTTACTAAAATATTCGGTTGAAACTATGATAACGTCACATGCCAGTATCTGTGATCCTGACTAAAGATATTCAGTTCTTCTTTCCTTGAGTTTTATGTAACTGCAGCAGTACACCCTCTCTAATTTACCGAAGACAAAATAACAAAATAAATGATTCAGCCTTCAAAAGCGTACGAAAGCCTAATATATACTCCCTACGCTTGTTATGTGTATTATATTGCTTTTTACGACTTCCACAGGATGAGTAGGTCCCTTTCTACACTCTTTATGAGTTCTTAAGACTGCGATTCAGCAACCGTCCTCCAGCTCTATGTAAAGCGTTTTGGATTGAGTATTCCTTACCCGCATGACATAAAGTTTGGAAACATATCAATTTAGTAACTCCGTAGCGCTCACGGGACTTGGTAGAAGGTTTGAAAGGAACATGCTAATTAATCATTATCTCTTCCAGGAGGTGATCCTGCCCAAGACGGAGCCGGCGCCGCTGATGGAGCTGGGCGAGCCGCCGCCCGACCTGCTGCGCGACATGCCGCCCGGGGAGTGCCTGTCCGCGCTCGACGCATTAGGTAGCTACCTATTCCTTGATGATGAGTCTTGGATTCGGTTCCTTTAAGGGAATTAAAAAAATATTGTGCAATTGTTCCAATTGCGGTTAAAACATCGCGGGTGCATGTCAGCTTACTAAATCTGACACCAGCTTTATGATTTTAATGATAATTGTTACAACACCCTCGGTCGTTTTAAAAGTCCACAAGTTTATCTAATGAATTTCGATCCCTGGGAAAACTTTTCACTGCAGTGCTTGGTACCAGACCAGCCCTTGCTGTCGTCTCAGGATATATCTACTGGAGAATATTATCCAATACTAACTGAGATTATAGAGCTACTTCCCCTCACCAGACTACATTATTATGTTGAACAGAGCGAATTATTATTATGTTGAAAACTGTGTAAAACTACTTTTCATCAAAAGTCAACTTAAACAGAAAGACATGGGTCTTAACACCACATTTATGAATGAGTTACATTATGTACTGACGGCTTGATGTTTCGGCTGCGATGCTGCAGCCGTGGTCACAAGCAGACTGGCGGCTCACGGAGTCGTCCGTTCGGGCGGGCTTGAAAATTTTCAACTACCATCATATTGTCATCAAAAGTCAATTTCCTGATTGCCCCGAGTACATTCGGAAGGTTATGTCAAGAACTGTCTAAGAGAGCTTATTAAAAGTTAAAAAAAATCTGACACATNATGCCACACCTAAATCCAAAGCCCAATATGTCACCTCGCTCGCTTGTTCCAGATGGGCTGAAGCTGGGCTCGTGTTCTCCGCTCAGCCGCGACGAGGGCCTGTCGCTGGGCTGCCTGGAGCCCGACCTGTGCCTGGAGCCCGTGCCCGATAACCTCTTCAGCCATAAAGACATTAAGGTGAGTCGCCTCTGCTATACCTCCTGCAATCCTTTAGCAGTACCTACGCCACCCCGTCATAGTCAGAGGAACTGATCTCCTATTGGTAGTTCCATATTGACACCGTTAGAGTATTGTCATTGCTAATTGAGATTGAGACTGACTCGCAATTTCTGGATTCAAAACCATAATGTTTTGCTCACCCAGCTTGATTCAGGATATTGCAAACTTGAATCGAACTGATTATCTTAAGAAGAAATAAGTTTCCGTAGGACACGTAAAGCCGGGGTGATTGAGACATGTCAGCCGTCTATTGCAGACAACCTACATAATCGAAGAAGACCAATCTGTGAAGATGACGACCTATACGAAGGTCCTGGTATACGAGATATAAGGCCTACACTGATTACTCTTGTTAGGTTACGCTAGAGCCCCCGGTCTCCATTTCAGAAGAATCAGGAATTCAGACCAAATATCGTAGCCTTTTAGAAGGTTTCATCTCATGATGTGGTCCAGAAGATTAACTTTAAACTTCGTCCAATATTGAATCTGTCAGATCAGTCTAATTAAAATAAGTAACCTTATAGAATTTTAAACTTGATCTTCACTGGTCAGGTTTTTATTGGCGGTCAAGCTGTAGATCCTGGTTACACAGGAGTTGCAGTGGTGGGAACGAGAGGTGGGAATAGTCCCGTTACAGATTTTTAACAGTTTCCTTATGTTTCAGATGCGGCTGTCGCCCTCACCAGGGCTCCTGGGCGGCAGCGAGAGCGACGCCGTGCTCAACCTCGCGCAGATCGAAGACCTCATGGACGACGACTCGCACAACCCCGTCACGCAGGGTGAGATTTCCCATAATACCACACGTTTTTTCCTCTTGATCTTGAGTACCAGAAAATAGCACTCATCTTCATTTCAGCCATAGGACATCCACTGCTGAACATAGGCCTTCCCCAATGCTTTCCACGTTGATCGATTGGTAGCGGCCTGCGTGCCACTTCAGCTTGCTAATCCGTCGGGCTATGTCAGCGACTTTGGTTCGTTTACGGATTTCCTCATTTTTGATTCGATCTCGCAAAGAAACACCAAGCATAGTCCTCTCCATAGCACGCTAAACTCACATACCTACTTTCTACAAACCACTGTTTCTTCCTCTTGAGTACCAGAAAGAACACACTCGGATAGGTTACAGAAAGAATGTCGCCTTTTGGATCCCTTGTCAGGTGGACCTCATAGACTCGAACCACCCCACACAACGCAGTGTGAGGATGGGTTTGTTAATAACTGCGCTAACCCCTCCAGCTAAATGTAATGTCCAGATTCCTGTATTCACCAAAATAATTCAGGGGTTCGAACCTGACTTTCGAATCGACAGTCTGGCACTAACACTGTTGTGCTGTTTCCTCTTTAATACCAGAAACTAGACATACTCTTCCTCTGAAATATCCAGGAGAACTAAAAAATAACCTGTTCAGGTTACAGACATAACCCCCACCTATTTGGCGCCAGAACGGGAGAGATTTACTGCGTGATTGACCCTCGCCATGACTTTTTAAAACGCAAATCCTCGTTCCAGGTGACCCCATGCTGTGTTCATCCCCGACCTCCCAGCTGTGCCTCAGCGACGTGGTAGCAGACGCCGCCGACCGCTCCATGGCCATGCTGCACGACGAAGCGTCTTACAGCACGCACGCGCCAGGTAACGTCATCGACTTCATCATTATTATCTTCTTCATCATCATCTTATTATTCTTTATCATCATATTCTTCTGCTGTTTCTTCTGCTTCTTCTTCATCATCACCATCATCATTATCCCCGAAGTACCAGCTTTGCCTTTGGTAGCAGACGTGGCTGACCGCTCGAGGCGTCTTGCAGCACGCACGCGCCAGGCAATATTGTCATCATCGTCTTCATCATCATCATCATCATCATCATCCCCGACCTCCAAGCTGTGCCTTTGGTAGCAGACGCGGTCAACCGCTCTATGGCCATGCTGCATGACGAGACTTCTTAAGCACGCACGCGACAGGTAATATTATCATCATCATCATTATAATCATCATCTTCTTCATCATCATCATCTTCATCATCATCATCATCATCCCCGACCTCCCAGCTGCGCCTCAGCGACGTGGTAGCAGACGCCGCCGACCGCTCCATGGCCATGCTGCATGACGAGGCATCTTACAGCACGCACGCGCCAGGTAATATTGTCATCATCGTCTTCATCTTCATCATCATCATCATCATCACCTCCCAGCTGTGCCTCAGCGACGTGGTAGCAGACGCTGCTGACCGCTCCATGGCCATGCTGCATGACGAGACTTCTTAAGCACGCACGCTTTATTAAATAAATAAATAAATCATCTTTATCATAATCATTATCTTGTTATTTTTGTTCATCTTCTTCATCCTCTGTTGTTTCTTCTGCTTCTCCTTCTTCATTACTGTCATCGTCATCTTCCCCCGACGTCCCAGCAAGTGCTTTTAGTAGTAGACGCAACCTACCGCTCGATGGTCTTTGGTCTTAAAGCACGCACGCGCCAGGTAACATCATCAACTTCATCATCATCATCATCATTATCACCTCCCAGCTGTGCCTCAGCGACGTGGTAGCAGACGCCGCCGACCGCTCCATGGCCATGCTGCATGACGAGGCGTCTTACAGCACGCACGCGCCAGGTAACATCATCATCATCATCATCATCATCATCATCATCAGACCTCCCAGCTGTGCCTGATGTCTTAACGACGTAGTGGCTCAATATCCATTCTGCACGACGATGACGAGGCATCTTACAGCACATGTGTGCCACTTAACATCATCATCATCATCATTATTATTGTCATCATCATCCTCTTATTCTTCATCTTCTTCTTCTACTGCTGTTTTTTCTGCTTCATTATCATCATCGTCATCTTCCCCCGACGTTCCAACTGTGCCTTTGGTAGTAGACGCGGCCGACCGCGCCATTGTCATGCTGCATGACGAGGCTTCTTACAGCACGCACGCGCCAGGTAACATAATCATCTCCATCTTCTTCATCATCATCATCATCCTCGACCTCCCAGCTGTGCCTCAGCGACGTGGTAGCGGACGCGGCCGACCGCTCCATGGCCATGCTGCACGACGAGGCGTCTTACAGCACGCACGCGCCAGGTAACATAATCATCATCATCATCTTTATCATCATCAGGCATTCCAGCTGTGTCTTAGCGACTTGGTGGCTCAGTGGCCATACTGCACATCATTATTATTATAATCACTATCCTCTTATTCTATATCTTCTTCTGCTGTTTATTCATCATCATTATCATCATCCCCGACCTCCCAGCTGTGCCTTAGCGATAAGGTGGTTCCAAGGCCGTGCTGCACGAGGAGGCGTCTTACAGAACGTGTACACCAGGTAATGTATTATCATCATCATCATCATCATCATCATCATCAGACCTCCCAGCTGTGCCTCAGCGACGTGGTAGCGGACGCGGCCGATCGCTCCATGGCCATGCTGCATGACGAGGCGTCTTACAGCACGCACGCGCCAGGTAATATTATCATCATCTTCTTCTTCTTCATCATCATCACCATCACCTTCCAGCTGTGCCTCAGCGACGTGGTAGCGGACGCGGCCGATCGCTCCATGGCCATGCTGCACGACGAGGCGTCTTACAGCACGCACGCGCCAGGTAATATTGTCATCATCGTCTTCATCATCATCATCATCATCATCATATTATCATCTTCCTAGACGATCTAGCTGTTTGATAGTAGACGCGGACGACCGCTCTATTGTCATGCTTCACGACAGGGCTTACAACACGCACGCGCCGGGTAAATCATCACCTTCATCATTATTAGCTTCTTTTTTTCGTCTCGTTCGTATTTGTCTTTTTCTTTTTCTTCATCTTCTTCTACATCATAATCATCAGCTTTTTTATTTTACTACTGGCCTCACCTCAAGGAGTTGTAAAGAGGACGATTTCCCATCGTTATTGTACAGCTATTTCCAGTTATAGCCTGACCAGGAACATAAAAACCCTGGCATAGAGGCGCGTCAATTGCATTTGATAGTGCAACACTGAGTACAGTCGTAGCTGTGTTAAATTAATAGGCTAACTTTATGTATCAGAATTCAGGATTACGGGCTAATTTGATATTTTCATAAATTAACGAAAAAATATTATTATAAGTAACCTGGTTTAAATAAATTAAATGAAACCATCAATCGAGCTAGTAGGATTTATTTTATTATTCATCAATAATCAAATTCAGAACTTGAATATTCAACTGCATTGTCTGCTCATGAACGCATCAAACTCGGTACTTCTTTCCCAAATCCATAAAATTCAACACTTAGAAAGTGACAAAAAATTTCAAAATTGGTAGTTGAAACAAACCACACCTAATTTTCATAGTGGACTGTACTATACGATAAACATGTCAGTAAATTTGACAACCTTTGTCGGAAACATTATTCAATGAAAATATTGTCCGAATCCTTAGTATTTCTCTTCGACAAATACTTTAACACATTGTGAACCACTTTTCTTTCACGACTATAAAAAGATTTTAGCAATTTAATTCACAAAATCAATTGCGCACAATTAAATTAAAGTTTGTTTACACTTTGACAGCAATAGACTGACATGCAAGGTGACATGTCAATGAAGTTTTCAGTTACTGTTGCCATTAAAAGAAATTAGTTCCATTAGTTTTCCGCAACATGGCGAGGGTTTTTATGTTCCTGGTCAGGCTATACATTCTTTTGAAATATTACAAATCTTTCGAAAGGAACTGATTGATTTATTTGATTGATTGATTTATTTGATTGATTGATTCATTTGATTGATGAAAGTGTAGGCATAGATTTCTATCCGCAGCCCGCAGCCCAAAATATTTTCTCTAAAAATCACTAAATTAAAATACCTAGCGTGAGCATCTTAGTTTAGACCAGTGGAATGTAAAACTGTAGTTTTAATTTAGGNGTTTTTTCTTCTTAATCTTGAGTACCAGAAAATAGCACTCATCTTCATTTCAGCCATAGGACATCCACTGCTGAACATAGGCCTTCCCCAATGCTTTCCACGTTGATCGATTGGTACCAGAAAGAACGCACTCGGATAGGTTACAGAAAGAATGTCGCCTTTTGGATCCCTTGTCAGGTGGACCTCATAGACTCGAACCACCCCACACAACGCAGTGTGAGGATGGGTTTGTTAATAACTGCGCTAACCCCTCCAGCTAAATGTAATGTCCAGATTCCTGTATTCACCAAAATAATTCAGGGGTTCGAACCTGACTTTCGAATCGACAGTCTGGCACTAACACTGTTGTGCTGTTTCCTCTTTAATACCATAAACTAGAGACATACTCTTCCTCTGAAATATCCAGGAAAATTAGAAAATAACCTGTTCAGGTTACAGACATAACCCCCACCTATTTGGCGCCAGAACGGGAGAGATTTACTGCGCGATTGACCCTCGCCATGACTTTCTAAAACGCAAATCCTCAACCACTCCATTCCAGGTGACCCCATGCTGTGTTCATCCCCGACCTCCCAGCTGTGCCTCAGCGACGTGGTAGCAGATGCCGCCGACCGCTCTATGGCCATGCTGCACGACGAGGCGTCTTACAGCACGCACGCACCAGGTAACATCATCATCATCAGACCTCCCAGCTGTGCCTGATGTCTTAACGACGTAGTGGCTCAATATCCATTCTGCACGACGATGACGAGGCATCTTACAGCACATATGCGCCACTTAACATCATCATCATCACCATTATTATTGTCATCATCATCCTCTTATTCTTCAACTTCTTCTTCTACTGCTGTTTTTTCTGCTTCATTGTCATCTTCCGCTTCTTTTTCATTATCACCATCATCATTATCCCCAACGTACCAGCTTTGACTTTGGTAGGAGACGCGGCTGACCGCTCGGGGCGTCTTGCAGCACGCACGCACCAGGTAATATTGTCATCATCATTATTATTCTCATCATTATCCTCTTATTCGTCATCTTCTTCTGCTATTTCTTCTACGTCTTCTTCATATTCATCGTCATCATGATCATCATTCAACATAGGTACTTAGCTTCGCCAAAGAGTGCCGAAGATCAAGCATCTATCGCTATTTCAACAAGTCACTGGTCTTACCTCCTTCAAGAAATTTCAAAGAACACCATCTCTTTTATACAACCACTGCTAGCTATCTTCTTATAAAATATCCTAGTTACTTAGTTACGTACTGTCTGCCTGTAGTTGCAAAACATTAAGTATAATACAAGGCATTATTTTCAAAAGATCGACTTCTTTTAGTGGGATTATAATCCATGAACTAACTAGGCATCGTGCATCGCTTTGATCGCTGAGCTTTTGAGATATTGATAAGAAAACCTTTTGAAACAAAGTGATCTGTGGGAATGTATATGGCTTTATATCTGCAGTCTAAAATGAAAATCTTAACTACCTAGTAGAACTCAGAACTGTAGGTTTAAAAATATTTTTTCACGCAGAGCAAGGCAGGTATTATCTCGTCATTAATTTGTATGTTTCTTCCCACCAGGATCTTCATCTCTAATGTCCGAGTCGATGGGACTAGGAGGCATGTCAGGGCTGGGGGAGACGTGTCTACCTTCACTCTTGCTGGGCGGCCCGCACCACCACGCGCCCCACTCTCCCCACCACCACCCGCGGCAACATTGCTTCGACATGGACTTAGGAGCTTAGGCAAGAATCCAGACTCAGTCAAAATGCCCAGTGGTGCGAAACACGCAGTATATTGGAACATGATAGTTATACTTTTGTATAAACCAGTTTTACTGCGTTTTCTAGATCAAGACAGTTTTAGAAGTTCGTTACATTTCTTTGTGTTCTGTGGAACCTGACAACGAATTTTAACTAATACCTGAGAAAAAAATTGAAATAATTCTACGCCCATTTCAACAGCTGACTCAAAAAATTTAAGATTAATATGCCACTTAATTGTGGTGTCTTGTGAGATTTTGGTGCACACAGATGGAATTCTTCGTGCTCTTAACTGAGTAAAAACCTAAACTTAGAACACACCTGGATACTATAAACACTTGAATAAAAAAGATCTCTACAACCTGGTTATAAAAGACGTATGCGTGGATTTTTGTCGTATGTCCAGATCGAATCGTATCATGCAATTGATTTCAGTACATTTTAACTTATAATGAAGTTTGAGTAGATAATTAACATCAAATATCAACTTTTTCAAACTTATCATTTTTAAAATTTTTACTATTTAATTTAGAAAAGTACAGCAAAACTTTTTTAATTTCAAATTATGTTATTGATTTGATGAATTCTTCTTGCACAATTTTTGTTTGCCTGAAAACACTGCTATTTCTACGACTAATGCTTACATTTTTCTAATTTTTTGAATCACAGTTAAAAAACCAAAGATCACTTTGTCAAAAATACTATTTGGAATATTTTGAGTCCTAATTTTAGACTTAAGTATTTAAAAGGTCGTGATACATTAGTTACCAGCTCATCTTTTAGAGATATGATTAATTTAGTTGATTTTATAACTTGTTTCTAAATTTTGGCCCACTGTGCAAACAAAGGGTTGTGCTAAGATTTTTAAGCTTTTGGAAAAAATGTTTTGTCAAAATCTACGTAACTATTTTTAACGTAAAAGTATTTAAAAATAAACAAGATTTTTGTTGTATTTTACATTTTGATATAAAAGCAATTTTACAAGGAATTTTGTAAAATTAACGGTGCTTTACTTATTTTCTGGAGACTAAAATGGTGTCTATTTTACATAGAATATATTATTTTATATATTTATATACAATATAACTGGGATAATAACTAGAGGACCATAATTACATAAAAATGTGATACAATATATTTTTAGATGATATTTATTGAGATATTTTACTATTTTTATGTGAATATCACAAAGTGCCTTGCTTTTAGCCAATCATCAGATGCTTATATGTTAAATTTTGTAAATATTTATGAGATTTTTAAAAATCTTTAACACTGGTTAAGCAATTCACGTGTGTACGTTAAGTTTTTGTGATGAATTTATTAAAAAACTGTAATTTAGATTCATAATTCAGTATTTTATCTTTGAACTGTATAAGAAATGTAAGATTAGGGTGATTTTGTATTACCAAAATATTTTGTTAAAAAATGTTGCTTTGGCGCAGCTAATTTTTTGATGAATGCAAAAATTTATATTTTTGTACACCCTATACTTAGCTTAGTGGTACTTTGTTGTTAAACAAATCGAACAAAAGCTATTTTATCTAATTTTAAGTAAAATGCGAATCAGTGAGCCTTATAGTAGATTTTATTTTTAATAATAGTAGAGAGAATCGTTATTTTGTTACTTCTTGTGAAAGTTAAGTGTGTGTGAATTTCGCTGGGAAATAAAATAACGAAATAAATAATTAAAAATGTTTACCTACAATTTTGGACCTTCGAAACACCTGTGTTTTGTAATTCTGTAGATAATATTCTAAATATCGTATTAAAAGTGATATTCATGTGCCTTAATATGTACTTTGTATAGTAATAAATATTGTTTATCGTGTAAATAGATTATTTTGTTCATTTTGTTCATATTTAGATAATATTTAAGATTTTTTTCGTTTGTCCTGTACATTGTAGTTTAGCAAATTTTGAAGCATTACATTATATTATCTAGTTCTCTTTATTCTTTAATTATGCAAAAATTTGAATTGATATTGAATTTCAGTTTACTTAGAACTATATTTTTTGTGAAAACTTTATTTTATGATGTATTAAGCTATTTACTTACGATAAAACGCAATAATTTATATCTTTTATGTGGAATTTTGTGTCTCGAGCGAAACACAAACACAAACTTATGTATGAATGTTATTTAATATTGTATGAGATTAAAAATGTTAAAGTACAAAAGTAAATAACAAAATTTACGAGAATAATATTCGCCTTTTATTGAAATACCTTTTTTATAGTCTACGGGAAATTGTTTATATAGTATTTTTTAACTAGTTATTTGTAACTAGTTAAAAAATACTATGTAAAGAATGTTTTTATCAACAATGATACAAAATAATAGTTACGAAGGCATGTATCTCGTGAGGCTATTTGCGAGTTTGATCTGTCGATATACTACTTATAAATAAATACAAGCGCATCTCAATAATTTGATGTAACTTATTAGATACGCCTTAAAGTAACGTAAACGATGATTGTGCCGACTGTGATCCAAAAATATTCCCAAGTTTTTGGATTTTTTATTTTATCTTTAGTAATAATTTATTTGGTGACATTTAATCGATACCAAGTTTGACCATTTGCAAATCCTGATTAAACACCGCACAAAAACTAAGTATTGTTAATTCCATCGGGCACGCTCCAGACAAAGGTTCTCCCCAAACTGAAGTTGCAACGATTATTTTTATCCATTCAGATTTGCAACAATAGACCGTTTCAAATTTCGAACGAAATTTGCGTTTTTGCATAAAACGCATGCGCAAGTCGGCGCGTGCGACACATTAAAAATGTAAAGGGACCACACTATACCTATAGTCTATACTGGGATATGAGTATTGTTACCAAATGGGTATTTATTAGTATACTTACTTAATTTTCGTAAATGATAAAACAACACAATCTGCAAGAAATGTATATTGTTCTCAATAAGATTATTTGTATCAAATTGACAACATTGCTTGCAAACTGAAGTTGCTGAGCTTGCAAGTCCTTGCAGTGAAAACTGCTTGCGGTGACTCGAAATAAGTTTGCATTTGTCAATTTCAAAGAGAATTTAGTGAGCGAGAGAGGAATTTACGGTCATCAATTTCTGCTGATGTCTACAAATACCTACGTACCTACTAGGTAGGTAGGTAGGTATATCACAGCATTTTGAAAATACACCGGGCTTGGCCAAGCACGTGGCAGGCACTGAGGAGAAGAGGTTTGTGCGCCGTTATTTTATAAAATAGCTGTAGCAATAGAGTGAGCCCGCTATGCTATTTAATCCTAAGATATTGGAAATCATGGGGACCCTACATTGCATTGTGACCGCGCAATTGTTGCATCGCATAATACGCTACAGTTTCCGAGTTTTTTCACAAATTTAAATGAACCCTCGCACAATGGCTGCCATTTGCATGGCGGATCATGTTCGATGCATATTTTAGGGGGCCGAATGCAAAAAATGCAAACTATTGATTTGATTGAGAATTTCGCGACGAAATGTGAAGTTTTTGCTGTTTTTGCTCTAGTTTCAATTTGGATAATGAGACTGGTTTCAACGAAAAGAAATATTTTTGATAGATAAATTATTTTCTGTACGAAACTCCTATTATATGCTATAATGTATAAAGGCAAACCCATAAAAGATTTTGTACAGTATTTCTAAGATGAAGTTTAGTATTCTAAGATTTGTTAGTTTATATCTAGGTACTAAAAATAATTGTGAAAAACCTTGGGGGAGGCCTTTGTCCAGCAGTGGACGTCATTTGGCTGAAACGAACGAACGAACAAAAATAATAATTCAAATTACATATTTGATGTGGGCTTAGAAAAGCGCTGTGGGTAGGTCTATGGGGTAGGACGTAGGTAGTTATAATAATGATATAAAAATACCACCACCCACCATAGACTTCACAAATGACTATGAAACTCTTTCACTCTGCTTTCACCGACAATTTTCTTGTCAATAAAGACAACTGTCACATCAACAGAAAACAAACATTCTCGCAAATACCCTCGACATTCATTTAAAATTATGTTGTAATGTTAATTGTTATATCATTTAGAATTTAGTGCAAAGTTTATAATATTGAGGCCGTCCTGTGCTCTGTGCATTTTGTAAGTCACTGTACCACACCTGTGCTTTTTTCTGTGCTAGTGAAGGGTCCTATGTTGTAGAATCATACATAAAAAATACAAGAAACATTGCCTGTGTAAGTACATTTCCTATAGCCCTTTTGCGCAGTTTTGTTTGTTAAATTTTTTATAAAATTTTATCAACGTTTAAACGCATCGTTTAACACCTCCATTGCCCAGTGGTTGGTGGCCCACTCATTTAGGCCACATAAGCCCATGTACAGTTTTATGTTCGTTGTTAAGAATGCCTATTTGATCGCAGGTATACAAGCACTCTACTACAAAGCCTCTTGAAGAAGCTGGTCTTGGATGATCATCCCAGTTAAGAGCAAAGACAAAGTACCTAGGTCATAAAGAGACCTACAAATCGCAAGATGACGCAAGCGACGCCCATCCCGGCCGTGCCTACGCAGCCGTTCCCGGAGGTGTTCAAGCCAATCGATGTGGAACCAAAGGTTGAAGCTGAGGAAGAAGTTGAAGTAAGTGAACACCTTTTAAATCCATTACTAAATTCGTTCAAATGATATCCAATGCTGGACTATGGCCTCCTCTAAAGATTTCTACAACGAGCGGTCCTACGCTGCCCGCATCGCATCCAGGCGCAATTTATAACCATAATACCTCTTTCACGCGGCTTCACCCGCTTTTCGGTTCGGTGCGGGAAGACTTAATTTAAATTACTTAAAAAATATTCATTTAAATCAGCGTAAAAAATAACAGCCAGGCAGATAAAATTAGCTTCTGATTTTATATTATGTCCCACGCTGCGCTTGACGGTAGTTACCTACAAGATGGGTAGATGACCTCATAAAGGTAGCAGGAAGGCGCTGGATTATCCAGCGCCAGCCTGGATACAGGCTGTATCCAGCCTGGATACAGGCCCCTACTAACCGGCCAATCTGGAAATCATCGGAAGCGGCATTCCGTCGACGTTTTGTGACTAAAATGGTAGTTAGTATAAAGACTCCTATATCTGGCACAGCAACTCCTGCCTCTGCCCCGGGTCCTCCAAGACCTGACGCCGGTGGACCGGCTGCTCATCACCAAGCGGCTCAGGGTCAAGAACGTTCTGTTCCTGAGAGGCAAGAGGAACAAGTTCTTCGTCCGCACGCCTGACCAGAACCTTGTGTACACTGTTGAGGAGGAGAACAAGTAAGCTAACTCCATTAACGAAGTTGCCTTTTACACGCAGAGTGCTATGCGAATTTGGCAATGAAAATAATAAATAATCTTCTATATTTATAGTAGCGAAAGGTCACTGACTGACTCACTGACTCATCACGAAATCTCAGAAATTACAAGTGCTAGGAGTCTCAAATTTTGCATGAGGGCTTATTTTAGAACATAGGTACTCACTAAGAACGAATTTTACGAAACTCCATCCCTAAGGGGGTTTAAACTGGATCCACGCGTACGAAGTCGCGGGCGGCCGCTTGTTATTAATAAAATATGTACGCCTTCGACTCTACGAGTATTATCTTACCTAGCTATCTTATCTAAAACGATCGAAGCTCAAAAGCTAAAATTAAATCAAAAATATTTTATTCAGTTTAGACCAATATTTTGGCACTTATGAAAAGCTAAAAAAAAAGTCCACCAATGTATCTCCTTATCTCAGTCGCTCATCAATACAGTTAGCGTAATCAAATTAGATCAAATCAAATCGTTTATTTATCCAACTCTACCATTGCTACGGGACAGTAATATGGGCCAGTGCTGAGAAGAAGCAGCGCAAGAAACTCAGTAATCAGTAATGATATGAATTCAAATCCCAATTCGATTTTCCCAACCAACCAGTTCTCACTTCTCAGTCAACCAAAGTTAGCAAAATGTTACTCATCAATTAACCTAACCTGTTTACCTTCAGATGGTGGGTGGGCTACCTGTGCTACGGGCTGCGCCCGCTGGAGCTGCGCGTGAGCAACAGCCTGGGCCGCGAGGTGATGCGGATACGGCGCCCCTTCGCCTTCACCGGCCGAGTGCTGCCCTGCCAGCTGCAGAACATTCAGGTACTATTCCCACCTCTCGTTCCCACCGCTGCAACTTCTGTGTAGCCAGGATTTACAGCTAGACCGCCAAAAGCCCTGTCATTGGACATTCAGGTACGTTCTTTCGTTTCAGCCAAATGACGTCCACTGCTGGATAGAGGCCTCCCCTCAAGGATTTCCATAATGACCGCTCCTGCGCTGCCAGCATCCTGGTACTTCCCGTGACCTTCACTAGATCGTCGGTCTACCTAGTGTGGGGCCTGCCTACGAGTATTAAATACGGCTTCCGGCCTGTGATCGCTACTCGAGAGCTGCTTTCTGCCCCAATGGCCATCAGCTCTATGAGCTATGTGTCCCGCCCACTGACACTTGATTTCAGAACATTCAGCTCACCAAAAACATCTATTATTCATAATCATCTCAACCAAAGGGCATCCTCTGCTGAACATAGGTACGACTCTCCCATTATTTTCAGATAGGCCGGTTGGCAGCCGCCTTCACCTAACTCTCTTCCATCGTCTGTCTTCCCATTATTTAATAATCTGGCTGTCCTTAAATGAATAACGTTAGTATGTATTCGCAGGTGTTCGCACCGCCCGAGCATCGTATCGGCACCATAGAACAGCAGTGGGCAGCCATCCGGCCCATCTACCTCGTCAAGAATGATGATGGAGACAGTATTTTCTGGATACGAGGTACTTTACCATAAACTTATGAATCTTTAACATCCTATTTAAAAAAGTTTGATAGTAGAAACAGGCACCCAGAATACAAGAGTTCAATTTACAGTTTGTGAATGACTACCACCAGCGTTGTTAATGTCAAGACATGATTGTCTTCAGCTATTCATTTCTAGACTCAGTGGACATAAGAACTGTTTCATTCTCACTTGTTATATTGGCACCGTGAAAGGAACTAAAATAAACAAAGCTTTCCTCAGTCACCTGTTAATGGCTCCCATCTTCCAGGTCCCCACGTCACTGTGAGCTGCTTCAGAGACGTCCAGTTCCAGATCCTCCGTACGGACGGCTCGCACGTCGGCGCCACCTGCAAGCGCTGGCAGGGACTGGCTCATGCGATGTTCATGGCCCCGGTCACTGACAGGTCAGTGGGGTGAACCAGGCATCTTATGGAGTTGGGATAGAGGCTGTATTGCAAAAAACATGGGTAATCTGCTGCCATATTCAAAGCGCCACCTGCAAGCGCTGGCAGGGACTGGCTCATGCGATGTTCATGGCCCCGGTCACTGACAGGTCAGTGAAGGAACACTGTTGCATGTTATGGAGTTGGGATGGAGGCTGTTTTGCAATTTTTGTCTGATCTGCTGGACTCTGTAAACTGAAAAAATTAGATGTAGGTATACTTTTTATGTCTGCTGTTTCGCCTTATCAACGCTGCGAGATGCAAAATGGACACTACAGAGATGCCAAAGTTTTCAGCTGGATTTGCAGTCCATACTAATACTGGCTACTGATCTTTTAACATTAGGCTTTATGAATGCAATGTATCCAACTTAAGGNATCGCCTTAAAAAAAAATACTAGGATGGCTAGATGGATTTTTACTGGCGGTCAAGCTGTAGATCCGCTACACAGGAGTTGCAGTGGTGGGAACTAGAGGTGGGAATAGTCCTGAAGTATTGCGAAAGCGCGCGTCGCTGGAAGTGCCTGGAATCCTGGATGTGGACGATGTGTTCGTCATGGAAATCCTTGGGGCCCTTGGGGAAGGCCTTTGTCCAGCAGTGGACGTCATTCGGCTGAAACGAACGAACGATTGTGAAAGCAAATTGGTATGGTCAAATAGGTATTCTAGTTTTGCCAATACGGAGTGATCTATCATGGTATTCCATGACAGATTTGGCGTGGCGTTCGAGCGAGGGCTGACGGAGGTCGAGAAGGGCCTGCTGCTGGCCGCGACGCTGCTCATGGACTACATGTACTATGACGTCTGAATACATTGTTCACGGTCGAAATGGCTTTTATTACTTACTAAAGATTACAAATATTCTATCAGCTGACTAGCATCTTTTTATATGGTCTATCAACCTGGCACAGTGATGCTGTGAATGTTGACTGACTTATTTCAGAAAAGGGCACTACACTGGTCCAACTTCATTAGTTTTTATTAAAAACTTGTAATAATTTATAAGGTGAGCCAAAAATGTATGCAAATAGCAACGCTTGATTTCTCGAAAACGGTTAGGGTAAGGACACGTGGGTGATGGGAAACTGTGCATTTTTCATGCAATGAGGGTTTTCGCGAATAAAAAATCCGCCAGATGGCAATACGTAGACGCGAGGTCCAAATGCTGCATGATTGGTTATTTTTGACATGACATTGACAGATATGTCAAAATCCACCGTAATCAATAAATCCGTTCTGCTCTATGGGTGTGAAACGTGGAAGGTCACCAAGGTTATCTCGCACCAGCTGCAAGTCTTCATCAACCGCTGCCTTCGCCGAATTCTCGGCATACACTGGCCCGAGAAAATCTCCAACGTCGAGCTATTGGAACGCTGCCACGAAATTCCGATCGACCAGCAGATCAAGCGCCGCAAGTGGAACTGGATTGGCCACACTCTCCGAAGGGACCCCGATCACATCCCTAAGCAGGCTCTGGATTGGAATNAGTATTGGTTTATGCATAGCTGGGCATTAACTCGTTAATCCGTTAATCGTTAATTAACGAAGTTAACATTTCTATTGACGGATTAACTTTTAAGTTAACTTTAAAAAATGTTAACGGACTCGTTAACTTCCGTTAAATTATCCTAAGTCCGTTAATCGTTAATCCAGTACCTACTATTTACCAAAAAGATACAGCAGGCACGCTGAAAAACACTAGAAAAAGGGAGTGTCTTCGCTGCCGGCGCCGGTTTCCAAAAATATCGCCATTGGGAACCGGCGGTGATACCACGTGATACACTGCCGGCAGTCAAAATGGCTGCCGGCGCTGGCACTCAGTATAGGCAACCGGCAACAGAGGGTTCAAGTCAAGTACAAAAAGCTAGTTTCCGACACCGTACTTTTTTATTACTTTAAAGTTTGTTTGTATTGTTTTTCGATAGCTGCGAGTTTGTGTGTTTCTACATGTTTTTGATACACTTGTATAAAAATAAAAGTCGGTGTACCAGAATAGCCTTGGCACTGCAGGATTTTTGAAAAGAAAACTCCTTGATTTTCAGAATTGGTGTGTAATCCCGTGGATAGAAATGAAGAGTGACAATAGTAAAATAGTAAATTTTCGTTTGCTTTAAATTATACAATGCTAGCACCCGCGGATTGGTGCGCAAAATTAATCGCGGACGAGGAACGTTCCTGATTGGTTGTTGGTCTCGAGCGTTAAGACGTTGAGCGAAGAAATTGTAGCAGGGAGAAGTTATATGGCCGCCAGTTCTCATGATGAGTTGCGTAGATGGCGCTGTGGGTGTCCAAACAGTCGGTGATGAATATTCGTCTTAAGAAGAGTTCGAAAACGCTTAAATATAGTGTCTACAACGAATACTAGACTATATTTCTCCGCCTGAGTGCCACTCAAAAAATTCTTAAAGTTAAAAGTAGAACTGAATGAAAAACACAACCTTCAATCATCTTTCTCAGCAAAGATTAAAATCAGGCACTGTTAGCTTAAAAGCAGGCGCTAATAAAAAATTGTATTAGATCAAAATAATTAAATAACAAACTGGGTGCAAAATTACTCTAAAAGACTTGACCAACTTATCAAGGAGGACTTGTCGAAAAATACCTACAAATGTAACATAACTAAAGTATGGACCAGCATCCGGCGCCGGTTACCAAAAGAGCGACCGGCGCCGGCTGCCGAATCAGTGACCGGTGGTGCCGGCTGCCGAAGGCACAGGGCACTCCCCTAGAAAAACGCGTTCTGACAAGTACGTTCGGGCTTCTAGAACTTCCAGAACCCAAAACAACAGTTTTTGTAACCAGAACGAAACTATATAAAAAATGCTATTTTTTATTTATTTACAAGCTTTACTTATATTGACTTCACTTGTTTAGAGTCAGGAGGTGGCCATAGGAACTCCTAAACGAAACGGTGGAAACTTATCGAGTTTGGGTTTGCTGGATTTGTCTTTTCAAACACTTTGGTGTTAAATTGTATTGTAATTGAACCAAGGCTCTGAGATTGAGATACTATAGACTAAGAGCTGGTGAACGCCAGACCAGAGACGTTACTAAAGCGAAAAGAATAATTGTATGCAAGGTTCAAATAATTTCGAAAGCTGTAGTATTCTTGGAATTTATTCCTCTTTTTATTTATGTAGTTGTAGCGCAAACATAAATAAAAGGAGGAATAAATTCCAAGCTTTCCAAATTGTTTGAACCTTGCATACAATTATTTTTTTCGTTTTATTATCACGTGTTAACGGATTAACGATTAACGTTAACTTGCGTTAAACCTTGCTAGATGTAACGTTTTAACGTTTAGCGAAGTTAATTTTTTTATTAACGGTTTAACGATTAACGAAGTTAACTATTTGATTAACGGTGCCCAGCTATGGGTTTATGTTCGTGTCCACGTACCCCGCGACAAATAGTTGCTGCGTATCCCTTCTGTGCTGTTTTAGTTTTAAATTTAAATTTATATTAACATTATTTTCCTTTTACACCAGGCTCGCCGGTAGGGATGCGCAGTAGCTAATAGGGCTTCCCGCTGAAAATCAGTGTCGGGACATCCTAAGGTGTCCCAACTAAAACTGAGCGGGCGCCCTATTAACATGCATTCGTCTTTTTCTTTTTAAAATCTGTTGTATTGTTTTTTGTAATGTGTGTTAATAAAGTTATTTTATTATTATTTTTATTATTATTATTATTAAATTATAATGTGCAANGTAAATTAATTTTATTCGATTAGTAACCTACTTTTCATTCCAGCTAAACGAAAACTTTCCAAGGGCTTTATGATGATATCATGACAACCTATTTGGAAGGTTACCTAAACATTAACTACTAATTATACTAATGTAATTAGCTACTTTCACAAACATTGGCGACAATTTTGGGTCACAACCAAAGCCTAGGCATTAGATTCTAATTTAACTAGTATGATGCAATAGTACACGCAATTTCTACGCGTAGGCGAGTACATCTCGAAAGTTATTGTATGCTAAGCCGATAAGCCAATTACTACAAGCTATACAATAACGAATACCCCTCGAACTCCGTCTTTTCAAAACATAATCGGCTTTTTTCCCAAGGATTCTTGTTAGACAATAAAATTTCATATTTCATTTCAGGCAATAAGTATAAATAGTTTATATTACAGAGATACTTTCGAGAAAATAACATTTTCCGCTCTACATGGCGCAAAATATTTAGTTCTAATACAGTCAATTAAGAAGTATTACAATGTAAATTACAATTGGTTTGCAATTGAAAACATTGTCACGGTTTAAAATGTTATACAAAAAGTGAGTCAATGCCATTACAGATCGTAATAATTGTTTAATCTCTGCATTCATAGTATAATTTCAATAGTTGTGGCTTTGGCATAGCAACAGGCATAGTTTGTTTTTAGATAAAAAACTTCATAGTGTAGTTTTAAATTTAAATCCTATTCAAGGCTACAACATTATAACTAATTACTAATTTTCTGCTTAGCCAAAAGGTTGACTGGGAGACAATAAAGAAACCTGATTGTCATACAAAAAGTTACACAATGAAGAAACCTTATGCCTAATAATTATTTCAATAAAACGATGTCAAATGTAATTTAGATTAAATCATTGGCAAATAGTGTTTACTGGTAAAAATTTATTATACTAAACCAAATTTCGCAGTGAAAGAATAAGAGATGACTCACTGGACTAGTCTCTTACTAAACACCTCAAGAACCGGATTGAAATCGGACAGATAATTGGATTATTGTTTCGCGGAAACAGATTGCCAAGTAGCAGATTAGAAAAGGAAAAAAAAAAAAAACAAAATTTCATATTTTAAAATAACATACCTGCATAGTAACTTCATACTGGACCACGAGAGGCTTGTCTTTGAACTCAAATGGCCTGTCCAGGAGTGTGGATATGGCCGCGTGCTTGGCTTCCGTGGTCAGCACCAATCCCAAGTCATCCTTCAGGATCTTCTTTGTTGGTGCTTGGATCTAAATAGAATGCAATTGGATTAGAAGGAGAAGAAGTAAAATATGGATGAGATAATCCACTGTAACTATCTTAAGTACATACTTCACTTTATCTTCAAAGGTACTAGTTTACAAATTTTTTACTATGGAATAACATTCATGTTCTTAGGTAGATTGAAACATAGAAAAGTTTAAAACTATAAAAACCTAGATATCAGGGAAGTCTTAAAACCAATTAGAAAAAAACTATTCTCATGAACCTATATCAAACAAATGTGTTGTTCTTGGACAAGATCACAAGATTATTAAAATAAGAATGAAATTTAAAACTAATTTAAAGTAAACAAAGATAAGTCTAAATCGTCACAAAATTAAATGGGCAATGCTCATTGGGGTACTAAAACCTGATTTTTTGTTTTAGAATTTTGAATTAATGATCATTATAATTTAAATTCAAGGTTACAATGGCATTTTTATTCTAATAGGAATCACTATAACATTATTCTAATCAGCATTCTATATCATAGTCTCAATGATCTCTATACAAAGATTTACAATAAAAAATGTAAATTCAGGAAAAACAATTTAGTAAAAATAAATGCAAAACTACTTACACTCCATTTGCCATCATATTTGGCGATGTTCTCATCGACACCCTGCTTCTTGGCCTCCGATTTAACCCACTTCTTCTTAAAAGCGGCTTCATCGTCAAAGTGCTCTGCGAGGAACACTTTCTTCGGGTCTATTGTCGGACTGTGGTACTGGTCATCTTCTTCGACCTACACAAATGACATAACAATCAAAGTTAATCATGAAATTATTATACTACTAAATATAAAATATTTTTTTTCAAATAAAAGTAGTTCAGTGTGAATTACACTGGTTTTTTAGTACAAGACAACTAGTATTACATTGTTTTTAGTACAAAACAAGTGTAGCTGTTGGCCTATGGTGTAAAGACTGGTAGATGATGTACAGTTCATTCAGCAATAAGGTACTCAAGTACAAAATCTTTCTGCAAGAAGCAGAGCTATCTCTAACTGTTGCTAAGTAGGTCATGTAACCTGTATCTGTATGACATGATTAATAAACTAACCTCCACAGAGATCCCATCATCTGAGTTTTCACTTTCCGCCTTCACAACCACTGCACTTCCCACTAACACCAGTAAGGCACTCAACGCTAACACCCGGTACCCTCCTCGAGCCATCTGAAATGAAAACCCCATCAAATATTTCACTGATAACGCTTACACGTCGGCCGCTAATAAATAAGTAATGCACACGCTAGTCACAGTTCCAACTTTTACCACGTCTGTTTCAAACTACAGTAGAACGCCGATTATCCGAATTAATTGGGACCGGGGTAGATTCGGATAATCGAAAATTCGGATAATCGGACATAGACTAGTAATAAAGAAAAAACGAGTTAAAAACGAACTGACACACATAGAATATACTTTATTAACTGTGTTTAGAGTTCTACAATAACGCTCAGTTGAAAAATATCTCGACTCCTGTGAGTTCCAACTTGTTACAATACAACAAAACAAAAATTACTTGGTTTCAATTTTTTATATTACGCTTAGGACCGATTCGGATAATTGGCGATTCGGTTAATCGGCGTTCGGATAATCGGCGTTCTACTGTACTAGGTATATCACAGCAATTTAAAAATACATCGGGCTCGGCCAAGCACGTGGCAGGCACTGAGGAGAAGAGGTTTGTGCGCCGTTATTTTATAAAATAGCTTGGAGCTTTATGTCAATGATGATGTGCAGGGAAAATTCAATGGAGTGAGCCTGCTATGCTATTTAATCCTAAGATATTGGAAATCATGGGGACCCTACATTGCATTGTGACCGCGCATTTGTTGCATCGCATAATACGCTACAGTTTCCGAGTTTTTTCACAAATTTAAATGAACCCTCGCACAATGGCTGCCATTTGCATGGCGGATCATGTTCGATGCATATTTTAGGGGGCCGAATGCAAAAAAAGTGAACTATTGATTTGATTGAGAATTTCGCGACGAAATGTGAAGTTTTTGCTGTTTTTGCTCCAGTTTCATTTTGGATAATGAGACTGGTTTCAACGAAAAGAAATATTTTTGATGGGTAAATTATTTTCTGTACGTATAATATAAAGGCAAACCCTAAAAAGATTTTGTGTAGTATTTCTAAGATGAAGTTTAGTAATCTAAGATTTGTTAGTTTATATCTAGGTACTAAAAATAATTGTGAAAAACTTTGGGGGAGGCCTTTGTCCAGCTGTGGACGTCATTTGGCTGAAACGAACGAACGAACAAAAAGAATAATTCAAATTACATATTATATTTGCTGAGGGCTTAGAAAAGCGCTGTGGGTAGGTCTATATGGCGTAGGACGTAGGTAGTTATAAAAATAATATAAAAATACAACCACCCATCATAGACTTCACAAATGACTGTATACTCTTTCACTCTGCTTTCACCGACAATTTTCTTGTCAATAAAGACAACTGTCACATCAACAGAAAACAAACATTCTCGCAAATACCCTCGACATTCATTTAAAATTATGTTGTAGTGATAATTGTTGTTTCATTTAGAATTTAGTGCAAAGTTTATTATATTGAGGCCGTCCTGTGCTCTGTGCACTTTTTCAGTTCTGGTGAAGTGCTGATCTTTTCTGCAAGGTTATTTTATATCAGTGATTAAAAATTATATCAAACTTTTGTGAGTATACTTTTGATTGCATTCTAGAGTAATTGACCAGTAGTTGAGTGAGTAGGGTACAAGCCAAAGCCCATGTACACTTTTTTATTTAATTGCAGGCACAAGCACTCGTTTAAAAAAGCCTCTTGAAGAAGCTGGTCTTGGATGATCACCCCAGTTAAGAGCAAAGACAAAGTACCTAGGTCATAAAAAGACCTACAAATCGCAAGATGACGCAAGCGACGCCCATCCCGGCCGTGCCTACGCAGCCGTTCCCGGAGGTGTTCAAGCCGATCGACGTCGAACCAAAGGTTGAAGCTGAGGAGGAAGTTGAAGTAAGGGAACACCTTTTAAATCCATCACTAAATTCGTTCAAATGATGTCCAATGCTGGACTATGGCCTCCTCCAAAGATTTCCATATCGAGCGGTCCTGCGCTGCCCGCATCGCATCCAGGCGCAATTTACAACCATAATACTTACTTTTTTCACGCGGCTTCACCCCCTTTTCGGTTTGGTGCGGGAAGATTTGAAAAATATTTTTTATTTCGTTTTTACCTGTGTGTAAAAGTTAGAACTACCTACCTGTGTCTAAAAGTTAGAACTTGAACTATCTGAGCTACATCTTCATTTAAATCAGATAAGGGGCTTAAGAGCGTTGTCACATTTTTCATGCAGAAATCGAGAATTTGGCAGATTTCGAAATGATTTTAGTCATATAATTTATTGTTATAGTTTCCTTTGACTTATATCATCGTAATTATCATACGTTTTTACGGAATGTCTACCTACCCATATTTATGTGCAAAATCAGAATAAATTTTAATTTTTCCATCCCGCATCATAAAAACTAAAAAGTCAAAAGTAAAATTTAAATAGTAAATATTTTTCATAAACAAGCTTTTGATGCTGTAAAAAGAATAAAATAAAACATAAATTCTTTCAAAACCATCTACTTATTACTTTACTCAATTTAGAGATTAAAAACTTGTCGCGGGATTTACTAGTGTAAAAAATACATTAATTAACGTAACTTGATTTTGCTAAAAGTCTGATCTGAGAAAAAATCAAATAGGTAAATTATACATTATTTCTTTATTATTATGTATGATGTACTGTCTTAGGTACGATACAACTACGGATTAAGATCGTTTAGTCGACGCAGCGTTGAAATTGTACAGATAAATGTAGTTTGCGCACTCACTACGCGACGTCAAGCAATAAAAACCTAAAATTCGAACGCCAACTTTTTGCTACAACGCTCTTAAACGTAAAAAATAGTAATAAAACAGACAGGCAGACTGAATTGGTTTTGCATTTTATACTAAAGTACGGCCAACGAAAAGCAATACCAAATGTAAACAAACCCAATGTCATGGGTGAACCCGTCTGACTTTGACATATTTTGGCGGGAGAACACGAGACATTACGACAAATACACAAGATGGGAAGAGACAGCATATATTGTCAACTCGACAGTCGTATCGATCTTTTGTATCGCTGCTAGTTGGCCGTACTTTAGTACCTACTAGTCACAAGGTGGGCAGATGACTTCATAAAGGTAGCAGGACCAGGAAGGCGCTGGATACAGGCCCCTACTAACCGACCAATCTGGAAATCATCGGGAGAGACCTATGATCATCAGTCGACGTTTTGTAGCTAAAATGGTAGTTATAAAGACTCCTATATCTGGCACAGCAACTCCTGCCTCTGCCCCGGGTCCTCCAAGACCTGACGCCGGTGGACCGGCTGCTCATCACCAAGCGGCTCAGGGTAAAGAACGTACTGTTCCTGAGAGGCAAAAGGAACAAGTTCTTTGTCCGCACGCCTGACCAGAACCTTGTGTACACTGTTGAAGAGGAGAACAAGTAAGCTAACTCCATTTACGAAGTTGCCTTACACGCAGAGTGCTATGCCAATTTGGCAATGAAAATAATAAATAATCTTCTATATTTATAATAGCGAAAGGTCACTGACTGACTCACTCACTCATCACGAAATCTCAGCAATTACAAGTGCTAGGAGTCTCAAATTTTGCATGAGGGCTTATTTTAGAACATAGGTACTCACTAAGAACGAATTTTACGAAACTCCACCCCTAAGGGGGTTAAACTGGATCCACGCGTACGAAGACACGGGCGCCCGCTAGTGATTTATAAAATATGTACGCCTTTGACTCTACGAGTAGTATCTTACCTAGCTAATCTTAAAACGATCCAAGCTCAAAAGCTAAAATTAAAATCAAATTAAATCAAAAATATTTTATTTAGTATACCAATATTTTGGCACTTATGAAAAGCTAAAAAAAAGTCCACCAATGTATCTCCTTATCTCAGTCGCTCATCAATACAGTTAGCGTAATCAAATTAAATCAAATCAAATCGTTTATTTATCCAACTCTACCATTGCTACGGGACAGTAATATGGGCCAGTGCTGAGAAGAAGCAGCGCAAGAAACTCAGTAATCAGTAATGATATGAATTCAAATCCCAATTCGATTTTCCCAACCAACCAGTTCTCACTTCTCAGTCAACCAAAGTTAGCAAAATGTTACTCATCAATTAACCTAACCTGTTTACCTTCAGATGGTGGGTGGGCTACCTTTGCTACGGGCTGCGGCCGCTGGAGCTGCGCGTGAGCAACAGCTTGGGCCGCGAGGTGATGCGGATACGGCGCCCATTCGCCTTCACCGGCCGAGTGCTGCCCTGCCAGCTGCAGAACATTCAGGTACTATTCCCACCTCTCGTTCCCACCGCTGCAACTCCTGTGTAGCCAGGACCTACAACTTGACCGCCAGTAACCCAACCAGTAAACTATTCCCTCCTCTCGTTCCCACCGCTGCAACTTCTGTGTAGCCAGGATTTACAGCTAGACCGCCAAAAGCCCTGTCATTGGACATTCAGGTACGTTCTTTCGTTTCAGCCAAATGACGTCCACTGCTGGATAGAGGCCTCCCCTCAAGGATTTCCATAATGACCGCTCCTGCGCTGCCAGCATCCTGGTACTTCCCGTGACCTTCACTAGATCGTCGGTCTACCTAGTGTGGGGCCTGCCTACGAGTATTAAATACGGCTTCCGGCCTGTGATCGCCACTCGCGAGCTGCTTTCTGCCCCAATGGCCATCAGCTCTATGAGCTATGTGTCCCGCCCACTGACACTTGATTTCAGAACATTCAGCTCACCAAAAACATCTATTATTCATAATCATCTCAACCAAAGGGCATCCTCTGCTGAACATACGACTCTCCCATTATTTTCAGGTAGGCCGGTTGGCAGCCGCCTTCACCCAACTCTCTTCTATCGTCTGTCTTCCCAATCTTTAATAATCTGGCTGTCCTTAAATGAATAACGATAGTATATATTTGCAGGTTTTCGCACCGCCCGAGCATCGTATCGGCACCATAGAACAGCAGTGGGCAGCCATCCGGCCCATCTACCTCGTCAAGAACGATGACGGAGACAGTATTTTCTGGATACGAGGTACTTTACCATTAACTTATGAATCTTTAACATCCTATTTAAAAAAAGTTTGATAGTAGAAACGGCACTCAGAATACAAGAGTTCAATTTACAGTTTGTTAATGACTACCACCAGCGTTGTTAATGTAAAGACATGATTGTCTTCAGCTATTCATTTCTAGACTCAGTGGACATAAGAACTGTTTCATTCTCACTTGTTATATTGGCACCGTGAAAGGAACTAAAATAAGGAAAGCTTTCCTCAGTCACCTGTTAATCGCTCCCATCTTCCAGGTCCCCCCGTCACTGTGAGCTGCTTCAGAGACGTCCAGTTCCAGATCCTCCGTACGGACGGCTCGCACGTCGGCGCCACCTGCAAGCGCTGGCAGGGACTGGCTCATGCGATGTTCATGGCTCCGGTCACTGACAGGTCAGTGACGGAACACTGTAGCATCTTATGGAGTTGGGATAGAGGCTGTTTTGCAATTTTTGTCTGATCTGCTGGACTCTGTAAACTGTAAAAATTAGATGTAGGTATACTGTTTATGTCTGCTGTTTCGCCTTATCAACGCTGCGAGATGCAAAATGGACACTACAGAGATGCCAAAGTTTTCAGCTGGATTTGCAGTCCATACTAATACTGGCTACTGATCTTCTACCATTAGGCTTTATGAATGCAATGTATCCAACTTAAAAAAAAATACTAGGATGGCTAGATGGATTTTTATTGGCGGTCAAGCTGTAGATCCGCTACACAGGAGTTGCAGCGGTGGGAACTAGAGCTGGGAATAGTCCCGAAGTATTGCGAAAGCGCGCGTCGCGGGAAGTGCCTGGAATCCTGGATGTGGACGATGTGTTCGTTATGGAAATCCTTGGGGCCCTTGGGGAAGGCCTTTGTCCAGCAGTGGACGTCATTCGGCTGAAACGAATGAACGATTGTGAAAGCAAATAGGTATGGTCAAAAAGGTACTCTAGTCTTGCCAATAAGGAGTGATCTATCATGGTATTCCATGACAGATTCGGCGTGGCGTTCGAGCGAGGGCTGACGGAGGTCGAGAAGGGCCTGCTGCTGGCCGCGACGCTGCTCATGGACTACATGTACTATGACGTCTGAATACACTGTTCACGGTTTAACTGGCTTTTTTTACTTACATAAAAATATTCTATCAGCATTTTTTTATATGGACTATCAACCTAGCGCAGTGATGCTTTTCAGAAATAGACACTACACTGATCCAACTTCATTTGTTTTTATTAAAACTTATAAGTATCTATAGGGTGGTTCAAAAATGTATGCATTTGCATTTCGTAACTTGCTAGGTATTTAGCAACGATTTATTTCTCGAAAATGATTCGAAATAAGGACGCGCGGGTGATGGGAAACCATGCATGTTTCAAGCATTTTGACACGATGGAGCGCTTAACGAAAAATCATCAGGCTTTTTGTGTACTTTTTTTACTAAAGCAACCCCGTAACCAATGTATTTAGTTAAGTGAAGACTATTCTACGCATTTCTTTTAGTTAATTTATCGATGACCAAGGATATTTTCCATTTTCACATAATATTACCCTGGGTACTGAATAATACTTACTTGCGAAGCTCGTTAAGCACCCCGACATGCCCTCAATACAATTTTGAATAATGTTAATGTCCATAAATTTCCAGAAATAATAAAAATCTAAGTTGAACATAAAAATGCAAATCGAACACCAAAGCCACGCGAATCTCAATTCAATCTCAATAGCAATTAAGTTTACATTTCCCCATATAATTAAGTATCGGACATTAATATTGAAATGAGGGGACACCGTTTGTTATACTTTAAATGCATTTTTCTCTTTTACACGCAAAAATGACGATTTCCCCTAAAAATTAATGTCCTGCACGCGGCCACCCCTATTTGCATTGTATTTAAACTTTTTTCGAATCGGCAGATGTCTGTCGAATTTAATGGCGCGCGATTTTGACAGAACGTATAATTTTTGGCGCGCACAATGACAGCTCGCGCTCCGTTCAGAAATTTCGCGGAAAAAAGTTAATATCGGGTATTTTATTGAACCCTTTTCCAAAGGATTGCATTCAATTACACTATCACGCGCTAAAAAACATAATAAAGGGGTCCCTTTTACGCATTTTTGGAAAAAACATCGGGGTGTATGTAGGTCACTGGGTGTAGTACTTAGCGAATTAAAGTTTTTTTTTATATTTTTTCGAAATAAAAAAGCGGCGCGCGTATGTCACGTGTGCAAGCAAGGGTTTAAAGACGACAATGGCTTTTTAGAAAGTGATTTAGAGTTTTTTATTTTTTTGGAAGTGTACAACGGATTTACTTTTTTTGGGAAATTGGACTTTTTCGAAAAATGTTTTTTGTTTGGTTTAATAATAAGGTCGAGGGGACGCCGTGTCAAGATGTACGGCGGAAGGTGATTGATTGTACTCATTGTTATTTAATGCGAATAAAAAACGCATTAAAATGGCAACAGACCGTGAATGGAAGAAAACAAAAAGATCTTTTTTACGTCCATCTTAATTTCCTTTGTCATTTATTTATAGCCATAAAAAGAAAATCGTACAACTGACGTGACTTTTAAGTTAAAATTACATCTAAATATTGCAAATTGCAACTAATTTATTTTAAAAAAAGCTGCGTAAGTTTTAAATTTTCGCCTCTTGTCGCTAATTAAATAGTTACTAAGTAATATATATTTATTTTTGTTAATTTCTAAGTAGGTATACGAAGTAAGGGAATATTTTTATTTCACCCTAAGTTGATTTTTATGAGATAGACGCAAATGATTTATGTTAAAACTTGTAAAAACTATAGTAAAACAAGAGTGATAAAACTTCAAATCAGACATTTATTGAGAACCAAGTACCTACACAATAATTGGGGTTTTTCGTCTCTCCCTTCAAAAAATAAAACAAAAGCTAAACAGCTTATTTATTTATCCATTTACTTCATCAACAGCCCTTTACAGTCCACTGCTGGACTATGAGCCTCCTCCACTAAAGTGGAGGGTTTTGCCATAATCTCCACGCTTGGCAGGCGGGTTGGAGATCGCAGTTTAAAAGATTGATGTTTTTCAGAGAGCGCTGCTGCCCTTTCTCTGTTTGATGTGTAGTCCCTAAGTCGCCTCTTACGACACCCGCGGGAAGAGTAGGGGTTGGTGACAAATGTATTCTACTCTGCCGTCACCACACGGCTTATATACACGGCTTTTATCCATTTACTTACTTGGTCAATATCCACTGATGCGGTAGAGTCACGATCCATAATATTCTTGCAAGTTTTCTTCTTCCTCGGTCCCTCACTGATGAGGATCGCGACCACATATAGTGTTCCTCCACAGACTGCGGTCATAAGCTGTGTGGACCGCACGATGCAAACTCCCGCCCACCGTCTTCCTCACCGCGTCCGACCATCTCGTCGGTTCGTATCTTGCAAGTTTTATAGTTTTGAAAATCCACCTTAACTACTCTACTATCACCACTCCCTCACTCTATACAGAAATGTTCAAAAATTATCCGCATTAAAAATCCCTATTTTTGAACCGGAGTTCAAAAGTTACGAAGCGTGACGTCATGAGTAGGGTTAACACGCCGAAAAATATTGACACTGCCGCTCAATGCGACCTAACCCTCCCGCGTCCATGTTTTTTCAACATTTAACCCATTTTTCAACAATTTCTCATTTTTTCCCCCAAATTTCGTTTGACAGATGCACCCTGAGCGACCCTCGCGACGATTTTTAATGCTTGTCGCTTTTTAATAAAAACTTTTTTGACAAAAAACTGTTTTTTTCGACACTAATCTAAAGCCGACATTTGACGCGAACATAATCTTCAATTAAGAGTATTTTTGTCGTTTTTCCCTTGAAGGGACGTAATTGTGTGATTTATTTATTGATGATTTTCCGGATTGATGTAGGGTTAATGCGCGTGCCGCGTTTATTCCCGATTTCGATAACAGCTCAGAGAAAATAAAATAAAAAGTTATTAAAATCTCCAAAAGTGACGTTATTATCTTACAAACTTTAATAACTTTATGTAACAATAACCGGTGCTTTTTGTATGGAGTTTGACAGATTTTTGACGTTTGTCAAAGTTAAAGTAAGATAAGTTACTGTCTTTTTCTTTCATCTCAAACGACGTCGTCATTAATATTGGCCTGCCGAGGGAAATCATTAGGATTTTAATTCCATTTTGTTTCCATGCATTTTACAGTTTCGTTATGTTACTTAGAATTTCAATTTCCGAGATTAAAATACATCTTCTGCTCCCCATAACGCTCGGCTAAGCACTTTTTCTTGACTCCTAAAGGGTTTCATAACAACTATTTATTTCGTTTCTAGTATTTTTTTCATAATGATCTACATTTCAATTGCTAACACGAAAATTACCTACTTCTATTTTTCCAATATATTCGATAAAAGCTTCGAAAACTTTCACCCCTTTATTATAAAAAAGCTAAACCCGGGACGAACACTGGTTTAAAATGACATTTCCAGATGGTTTACTAAATGTCAATTTTTTAAACCAAAGTTCAACCAGTCTTTTTTTAATTAGGGGGTTAATGTTTTTCCATCTACTAATAAATATTTCTTATTGGATTTTAAGGTTATTTATTCAGCTTGTTGTATTATTTTTTTCAAGTCTGCTGAAGTCGATTTAGCCTCATTCTAAAGCTCATGTAAGTTGGAAGTATGTTTACTTCCAATTTTAATTATTATCTTGTTATTTTTGTTACTTGTCGACAACATTCTTCAGAAATAGGTATTTTGTCTTTCAGTAACTTTTACTACATAATTAAATTACTTTGAAAAGGTTGTAGAAAAGCGAAGAAAAACACAGTATTTGTATATTTAATTTATTGAATACGGTAGAAATGCTTCGTAGTAATTAATGGAAAACAAATAATCAACAGACGGATCTAGGAACATATACCGACCGGGACATAGTGTGGCACTTGGAATATATTTGAATATACACCATATTCACTTGTATAATGGATGTATATTTACCTCAAAAACTTCGTGGATTTCGTGCAATAGCCAAAACCATTCAACATTATAATTTGGTATGACTATTACACATTTACCATTACCTATAGTTAATATTGAATCATGTACATTAAGTTTGTGGTTTTACTATAATAAAATACGCGAACTTGACAGATTTACTGAAATTATATAAAACTGAGAAATTATTGTTTACGTACTTATTCGCAGAAAACTGATTTACAATTTCAAAGGAACAAGCCGCAATTATATATTTTTCCTTTTCCATTATAAGTGTATTTTGCCGGAAAAATATATAATTAATTAGCGTTTCTCATGCCCTTTCTGGTTACGAAATTATTAGTCACAACAAGACATCGTTAAATTAAATAACATTTTATGTTTATTACTTATTTCGAATGCCACAAAATGTCCACAGCATAAGGTTTGGCTTTCTCCCAAAGCCACAATATAATTCTCTTTATATATTTAAATATAATTTTACCCAATGTGGAAGTCAAAAGCTATATTTAATATATTCACAATAATCAACATGATTTGTACTCTCAATTTCATATAGCTTCACATGTTTGTACATATCTAAATATTATTTACTATTCATATAAGTGTAATCTGTTTACGTATTTAGTTTATCTATGCTAATAGAGGTCCACATTGGTAAAATATACAAAATAATTTGACTAGAAATAACACAGTTTATATAATTTGAAAAATTATTACATCATTCCGTAATATACAGTCGCACTTAAAAACTAAAAGTAGGAAATCAAATTACCGCAATGGGACTAGAAAAAAGATAATCAATTTAATATTAGTGTTACAATTAACTAATACTCACGAAAATTTAGTTATACTTAAACCTCTTGGCGAGATCGTAAAGGAACTTTTGGTAGAAAACGTAACAAGAAATTAGTTTGCGATGTCCTTCAGTCCAACCAATATGTAAACAATACTGAACGAATCACAAACTAACTTCATCATTAACTATCAACATTACTTAGGAAATGCAAATAGAAACAAGTCATCCCTTTGCTTACAAATAAAAGGGTTAAGCAAGGACCAACTTTAGGACCATCGCTTTATATGCACTACGTACAACCTAATGTCTAGGACACAAATACAAAAGTATGTTTATAAAAAGCGTTTGACAATTTTGCATACATAAATCACTTTTATACGTGTGAAGTTCTTAAAAAAATACACATTTTGAGAAAGCATTTAAAATAAGACAGACATATTTTATGCTAAGTATCAGAGGAATATTTTGATACACAGTCTTTGGAAACTTAATTGCGAATAACTTAAAATAAATTAATAGTTACATTAATCTTATAATTCTGTCAGTTGTATTAAAGACTAAATTCTACGGGAACAGAAATAGTTCATTTTCTATCACAATCTAACAAAACACCTTGCTGAATTGGTTTGTCTTTAAAAAACGACGATATATCATATTCCCCTTGGTATTGTCAAGCAAACTAAACGAAAGGTGCGACTGTACCGAGCTGCTTATGGCATTGTTCCCGAGTGGAGAATTTACTACTAAAGTTGTAACACTCCTGTATACCTTTCCACTACACTTAATATTAATTTGTACTGTAATTTATTTGTATTACCAATCACCGATACCGCTCATACTTTGGTATATTTGTACTATTGGTTCTTATGTCAGTCCATCTCGGGCTCAATGCGTAAGGGAAATAATTCTGAACACAACTTCAATACATTTTCACTACATCAATGACGCCGAGCCGTCATCGCTACCGACATTCCTAAATAGTAAAAATTTCGGCATTATCTCTAGATGTGGTTCTAAAATGCCACCCTTAACGGGAATGCGGGCGGCGACGAGGGCGTCGTTACCACGCGTACAATTTTTATTAATTTTGTTATTATTTAAAACGTTATTAATATAATTTGTTGTACCGCGCGCGGCGGCGCGACTCTGGGCGGGACTGGCCTTTGGCTGGGGGCAGGAAGACTTGTAGGAAGATGGCCTTTTAAAAGTAAACACGGAAAACTATTGTATACACGAACAACAAACTCGCCAACATTTAAAAGATCATCAAAACAATTTTCGCCTCTGGAAGTATGATTAGGAACTATGATTCGCGTCAGAATGTTGCAACTCTTCAACAAGAACGAGTGCGTCGCAGCATCGATGCGCGTTCAGATCAACTGATACTTCTTTACACTAAGTTTCAAGTTCAGTGTCTACAGTATCGAAAGCTTTACCCTGATTCACAATCACAACATCATATTACGATCAGGTAAGCCGTGAATGTCCCGAGCAGAGCCGACCGACCGCGACCTCTAGTTTTTAATTAAAATTACAACTTACGTACATACATAGGAACTTTCTTTCGAAGCTGCATGGTTTGTACAAGCTAACCTCCACACTGATCTACCGAATAATGAATTATTCAAACAAACGTTACATTTTACCCATCAAATTAGTCTTGATTATCAAGATAATAATATTGACGACTAGAACATCTGTCTCACTCATCTCTACTGTGTCTATTGCAATGTATATTTCAGTCTTTTGCAAATGGTGTTCTTAATTTACTGTACGTTTATCTAAAGGTCTGCGAAGTAGTTTGAACCCTGTACGATCGATTTTAAAAGTTACAGCTTTGTAAATGTTATAAATAAAGGAGTCTAAACCGTTTTCAATTGTGAAAGACTCACATTAGAGATGACTAAGACGCATAACGGCAGCAGTAACACATAAGTATCGAGTACGACAGAAATAAGTAATGCAAGCCCGGCCAGCGGGGGCAGAGCTGCGCTCCGGCCCGAAACAATACCCGTATTGTGTGTAAACAACTAAACTAAACGTCTGACCGAGCCTCCTGACCACATCTAATCAAATTTAATACTAAAATTACGTTTAATGTTGATCACTGCCCATAGTACGTATCTTTGTGCTTCGCCACTCGTAGCCAACAACAAATAGTACCGAGTGGCGCGCGCGGTCTCCGTCCGGCGCTCGCAGTAACTATATTTGTACTTTATCGTAACTCCAAAATATAATTTAATACAATAACAGCTAATATAAAACCTAACGTGAGGTAGAGCGGTTGCAGGGCTGCGCTCGCGCCAGTGATCAACATCGCGCACTACGCTATCGTGAGCGCACTCACCGATAATAATACGTTAAATAAATTACTTCTAGGGTGTATTTCTTCTCCCGATCGAAATCGACGTTTCAAAAACTCGTCTCGGACCGACCCGACGGAACATCGAGGAGATAATAATAAATAATCGAATTTATAAGCGGCAACGTTTCATATATCACCCGTTAATATAATTCTCAATATATGAAGTTAGACTCTGACAAAAAAAGAGGCCGGGGCCGCCGCGCGGTGTGGCGCTCGGCGCGGGCAGCTTCCGATTATAATTACGTCTCATAATATTTTTCAGCAATCGCTTGAAGGCACACAGCGTTAAATGTAGTCAGTAGAGTTCAGCGATCGTACGCGCGCGCCCGCAGTTGTAGTCGCCGGCGGGCGCGCGCCTGCGTCGGGCGTTAGGCGGGCGTGAGCGTGAGCGTGACGGTGGCGCGGCGCGTGGCGCGGCGGCGGACCGGCAGGAACACCAGCGCCGGCACCAGCGACAGCGCGCCGCCCGCCTCCTCCACCACGAACGGCTGCATCGTCAGCGGCGCCTGCGGGGCGCGCGGCACCGCCAGCAGCGCGCCCGCGCCGCCGTGCGCCGCCCGCAGGTGCGCCTCCAGCGCGCCGAAGCCCTCCGCGCGGAACTCGCAGCGCGAGCACGAGTACGCGTCCGCCTCGCCCTCGCCCTCCGCCTCGCCCGCCTCCCCCTCGCCCTCGGCCGGCTCCGGGGCCCCCTCCGGCTCGGCCGGCGGCTGCGCGTGCGCGCGCTCGTGCGCGAACAGGAACGCGAGCACGTCGGTCGTGAACGGGCAGTAGGAGCAGGCGTAGGGCTTGTCGCGCGCCAGCAGGTCCAGCGGGCGCGGCGGCGGCGGCGGGCGCGCGGGCGGCGCGTGCTCGGCCAGCAGGTGCGCGCGCAGCGCCCGCGGCCCGCGGAAGCGCCGCGCGCACAGCGGGCACGGCTCGGCCGGCGCGGCGTTGGCGGGCGCGGGCGGCGCCGGGATGCCGTGCGTGTTGTGCTTGTGCACGCGCAGGAAGTACTTGCTGCACAGCTCCTTGTGGCAGATGTCGCACGTGACGCCGCCCAGCTGCGTGCCGCTCTCCAGCGAGATGCCGTGCATGCGCTGCATGTGGGTGCGCATGAAGTACTTGTTGCACAGCTCCTTGTTGCAGATCTCGCAGAAGCTGGAGCCGCTGGAGGAGGCGCGGCGCTCGTCGGGCGGCGGCGGGGAGGCGGAGGGCGCGCGGGGGCCGGCCTCGGGCGCGTCGTCGGCGAGGCGCTCGGCCGCCAGCTCGTTCAGCTGCGAGATCATCGTTTGCAGTTTGCGCAGCTCCTCGCTCGCGGAGCCGGGTGATGCGGCGCCTCGCTCCTCCACGATCAGGTTGAGAGGACTCGTCTGCCCGTCGCGCAGGGCGGCCTCCAGTTCGTCCTCGCACTCGCGCTTCACCTCCACCATTTCCTCTGAATCAAACGGCGGAGGCAAAGAGTGCGACCTCGGTGGCGTGTCGGGGGCGACGGGCGGCGGCGCGGGCGGCGTTGTGAGCGGCGGCGGCAGCGGCGTGCCGAGCGGCGTGCCCAGGGGCGTGCCGAGCATGTTGGGTGGAGTGCCGAGCATGTTGGGCGGCGTGGCGGAGGGCGGCGAGCGGTCGGCGACGGGCGAGCGGTGCGCGGGCACCCCGTGTCGCCTCTCCCGGTGCGTCCGCAGAAAATATTTGTTGCAATACTCCTTGCAGCAGATCTCGCAGAACGCCTCGGGGTTGACGACGCCGAGCCGGCGCAGGATGTCGGGCTGGAAGCCGGCCTCGCGCGCTCGCCGGGCGGAGTCGGGGGAGAGCCGGCGGGGGGTGCCGCCGGACTCCTCGTCGGAGGCGCGGCGCGGCGGCGAGGGCTGGGCGGGCGGCGGCGCGGCGGGTTGGGGCTCGCCGCCGTCGTAGATGCCGTGCTTGTTCGCGCGATGGGTCTTGAGGAAGTATTTGTTGCAGAACTCCTTGCAGCAGAGGTCGCAGTAGGCCTCGGGGTTGAAGATGCGCGGCGGCTCGTGGCGGGGGAGGAGCCGGAAGGCGGCGAGCGGGTCGAAGGCCGGGAGCGTGAGCTCTCCGAAGGCGAGGGCGCTCTTGTAGATGTCGGCCATCTTGGCGTGCAGGTCGAGCGGCGGGGGCGCGAGGGGCTGCGGCGGGGCGCGGGAGGGCGCGGCCTGCTTGCGGCGCTTGCGCCCGGGGCTGCCGCCGCCGCTCTCCAGGTCCAGCTCGCGCTTCACCGCCGGCGCGACAGACATCGCGTCACCGCCGCATCTGGAATTGAGAAACGGAACATGTTATTGATGTGTTTTTCAAATTTCTTATCTAAATGGACTGGGTTGGAGATTTATCAGCAGCAGACCACCGGAAAAATGATCTAACGATGAAAAAACGGCTGGACTAGCGTAAACCAAAATTGACGCTCTAGGAGCTATTCAGTGTACAGAACAAACGCAAAAAAATAAAGAATATTACAAATTACAATGCAAATCCAAGAGCAACATTGTTTCTTTTGCTATAATTTATGAATAATAGAATACAGTTGGACTTGGATAGTACAAACGACTAGCCTTCACGAACAAGGTGGTCATTAATTTTAATGAAATTTCTGCACGATACGGAAAGAGATAATACTACGCATATTAATTTAGTCTTAATCTACTATCGTACTTGTGGTTATAAGTGCCACTTGTGGTCTAAACTGAATAAATATTTTTTTGATTTTGATTTTGATTTTGATTTTGTTACACTAATTAACTTATTAATATGTGACTTTGTCTAAGGTGTTTGGAAAATTTTAACAATTTTAATAAAAATGCGAATGTCAATTGCTAATTGCTAACAATAAAATTACAAGCGATTAAATCATATGAAATTGCTACACATAATTTGAACACAACAATTTACCCCTATTTTTTAAAGTTCTCATTGTAAAAATGAAACCACCCTTGTAGTTAATAGCATATGGTCAAATTGAACATAATGGATGAACAACACAGGGCCCATTTGAGAGCCTTGGGGTACTCCAAATCAAACGGTACGAAAATCATAAATCTTTTCATTTGTAAAATATTTACTACACAACGTGTAAACAATAAAGCTCTTTCATGTTAACGATTTTATAAAATGACCGTAACTTTAGAGAAGGGTGACTGTATCAAATGCTTTCGACTGGTCACTACTTATCATAATCATTCTCAAGCTGCATGTGTGTGCATAAGATTTGATTAGTTCAATAAAGATGAATATTATGAACATTTAATACAGAAATGAAACTTGAAATGTACCTATAACAAAACTTAGAAAGCGTAAAGGCCGCTTTTTGTTATATTTTTTTAAGAATAAAGTAATTTAGTGGGCCCGTATTAATTTATAAACCTTGTGTGAATAAATTGGAATTAATTTCGATTGTAAGTTCTTTTATTTCTCACTGATTATTTGTCATGTTTTTCACCTATTTGTTTACATTTCGTGAATTACAATGCTTTTGTTTATAATCGGTTTCCAATAAGATTTTGACCCTTACCTATTGTCTTGGTTAATGTACTGAGGTTCCTTCATTGGTCACAACAATATAGTCCGTAACACCATCATTTATTATAACTAACACATTAATTGTTTCACGTTCTTATGTCCTGATAAAAACATCAATTAAATAAATCTTTGGTTCACAGTTCTTTTTTTTTTATCTTAAAACTTTCTTAACAAAACTTTTCACTATAAACTTTTTTGGCTACGTCATGGGGCGATCGCGTTTTTTTAAATTTCGGGCACGTGCTATCGCGTGCGCTTGCGTTCAAAACTGGCGTGTTTTTAGATAAAAATGTATTAGAAACTTTTTTTGGGTGAAATGGCAAAAATCGGCCCCACCCGGCCGCCCTTGTCGACCCATTGGATGGGGGCCGGTGCATTGTCGCTAGGGTGGGCTTACATGGCGTAAGATTAGCGCGGGCTTAATAGCCAATTGTAAGGAATTTTTGAGAAAGTCAATTTAATTTATATTTCAAAATAAAATGTATAATGGAAACCTTCAGTCTCTTAAGTGATTTTGGATAGGCAACTTGTAGGATAAGTATGTATTGTAATTCCAATATCAATACACATACATTGCATTCCTACTTCCATTACTGTTTGCCCTTTCTATAAAACACAATATTTGCAGGCCCTGCTCTGGTCACTTGAAGATGGCACATTTTTTCCTCATCTTCTTGTGAGTAGGTATTGGTTAACGTTTATATCGATTTTCAATTCAATTATCGTTGCATCATTCTTTCATACTCATCGTCAACTACATGCCTAGATTGCTTTGTTTAATTTTAAAAAGACTATCTAAAATATCGAATACCTAAGTAAGATACTAAACCCCCGTATTCATGCATACGATGCTTGCTTATGTAAAGCAGAAAATTAAACGCACAGCGTTGAATAGAGCTCTGTGATGGGTTCGTGTGTCACCCAGTGCGTCCATGCGCACTGTGAGACCTCATAGTAATGTTTATGGATTTACGGGCGTAACACTAGTCAATAAGTTATATTTCATTGATACTACCCAACTACCAACTGTAGTCGATTAATAAAATATTTTAATTTGAATTAATCCGTTGACACAATCTTATGGTTCCCGATTCCATGTAAGCCGGCCCTTAACGCAAACAATACGCGTTGCTTTCCCGAAATTTGGAAACACTATCAGAAGGGCGGCCCTGTGCAAATACAGCCGTCTCGTTCGAACACACCACAATAATCGAAGTTATTATCTTCCATCCCCCTCGTCCGCTGTTCGATAACAACACGCCATAAATTCCAATCATTTGAAGAGCGCTATAAATTTGTTTTTAATTTTCTAAAAAAATTAAAAGGAAAGTTTTATTGAAGTATTTTTTTCATGGATTTATTCTTTACAACTTCTTACTTCATATCAAAAGTTTGAAATATGATAATAGTCAAAATACATTTAACAAAGAACCTTAGTTATCTGACAGTAACTTAGTAGGTCATTGATTAGGTACTAACCCTAATTTATCTAACAGTAACCTAGTAGGTCATTGATTCTAACATTATCTAAGACCTAGATTTGGCTATTAACTTTCCACCATCGTAAATTCACTGCAATTTATGGTCTCTATCTTTCATGATCTTAGCTTTTGAATAAATAAAATTGAATATTTCATGTACTTCTATTTGATGGAAGATTGTAGGCTTGGCGTCTGAGATAGACTAGATTTAGAAAGAGAAAGAAAGAAAGAAAATTTTATGACAGACATCAATAAGCAAAATAGAGCAGGGGTGTTGAAGAGAGCTTTCAAATGAAGCATGTCTCTACTACTGAATAGTTTATGGGACTATTCCCACCTCTCGTTCTGACTATTGCAAAAGTTATGTGTAGTCATGTGGAGCCAGGATCAATGGTTAAACACCAATAAAACATAACCATTAAAGATTTAGTTATACTTAGTTATTCTTGGGAAAAAAATAAAATATAATTCTTTGCCTGCTGCTGTTTTCCCGAACATTATAATTCGGGCCTTTTCAAGGCGAAAGTGAATAGGCACTTACAGGGCAGATTAGTGCCATCCTTGACTGCATCTCACTTAACACCAGGTGCTATTGCGGGCAGATACCTGCCTTGTTATGCATAAAAATTGCACTCGCAACGAAATTAATCAGAAGGACATCACATCTCGGTTTAATAAAGTCATTTTCTGTGCCCCATCTGCCAGTTAAATCTAGAATCTCCGCGCGTCAAAGGAGAATCAAACTCCTAACCACATCGATACCTATGCAGTTATTTTTGACTGCAACATTAGGGTGACTCAAGGATCGAAAAACACCTCTTCGCCCCTAAAAAGCAAAAGAAAAAATTTGCGAGAAAACTTAAAATTTAAAGTGAAACCTTGAACAAGTTAGTTCCTCATTTTCTTAAAAAATACCGCCAAAGTTTGTTCGAGTATTTTTTATTTGGAATAAACAACCAAGGCGGGCCGTGTTTTCATCATAATTTCTTCGGAAGTAAAAAGTTTTATATTAAAAAGTCCAAATAACAAGTTTAATTAGTTAGAGCGAAGTAGACATCAATTCGCATTATTACACTGTTATTGTAAATTAAGATTGCAAAGTTGATTGTTCTGGATTTTACATTTTTACGAGGTGCTTCAAAGCTTTCGTTTTAAACTTTGCTTTCCCAATATTCGGAGTTTTAAATTGTATTTCGAAAATTTGCCGTTAATGCAAAACAAGAAAGTTAACAAATAAAGAAAACAAATGTAAGGGTCTTAATACAATGAGATTAAAGAACCATGAAATAAGATAATAATTAGGCACTTACAGATTATGTACCAAAGTTTTAGATTTATCTATGTGTATGCACCATCCTAAACACCAGGTGCGATTGTAGATAGATATTTAGTTCAAAAGCTCTATTAGAATAAAATAGTCTTACTAACATAGGTATTTTCTTTGCAAAAGCTATCAATATTTTCATATTCCAGTAATAAAAATTTTATTGTTAAAGTTATCTGACTATTGAAAAATTGACCCTTACATAGCTTACCTACAAAACAAGACTTTTCTAAAGTCTAGCCCAGAAGGGCTTAAGTTTATTCATAATCTTTAGTAACTCATATTATTATCACTCGTATGCAATTTGGAATTCCAAAAATCGTTCGAGATCCCAATACAAATCTGAAGCTCAGAGACGGTCTAAATTCTATGACAATCCACAGAAAGCAGGCTTTTAGTTGGCCGATAGTACGGTCGGCTTCCAAATTGTATGAGGAATCAGCTGATACCAAAATGTTGTAATGTTGCGCACTTGTGCGCACTTCCATACATGTTCATATTGTTAACAGTCCAACCAACTATCGGCCGACTAAATATCCGTCTGCGGGGTCTCAATCGCCCGTATTCACAAACATTACTATGAGGTCTCACAGTGCGCGTGCACGCACAGGGTGACACACGAACCAATCACAGAGCTCTATTTAATTCTATTTACGCTGTGCGTTCGTTAAGCAAGCATCATTATTTTGTAAATACGGGCGTAATTTACCTACCCTAAGATATTTGACATACATTTAACTTACATCTTTCCATCTCTATTTGTGAGCAATTCATAGAAAAATGGGAACTAGTTTTAGCCTCTGGTCAGTTAGCGTTACTTGCTAGTCCCCATCAAAACACCCATTGTACTACACGATAACACCATCGATTGATCCATACATTTTAATTTGGGCTTATCAACCTTTATCTTTAAACTGACGTTGATAAAAATAAAA